CCATATCAGCTACATATAACGAAAATAAAAGTGGCCCCAGAATAGATCCTTGAGGAACCCCAGAAATCATAGGAATATAACTAGATTTTTGTTTTAAACTTCCCCGTTTCATGACAACACAATGTGATCTATCTTTTAAAAGGGTTTTTATCAATTCTAAAGAGCCGTTTGAAAATCCAAAATACTGTAATTTTGCTAGGAGCAATGAATGGTCTAGAGTATCAAATGCTTTACTAAAGTCTAGTAAGCTAAGACACGTCATATTTTTATTTTCTTGATTTGTTCTAATATCATTAACCAGCTTTAGTAAACAAGTGGTAGTGCTGTAGTTCTTACGAAAACCAGATTGGCATTCAGGTATTAGTTTATTTGAATTATTATGTCTTACACAAAATTTTTTACCCGTTCTATTGCTCTGCTGACCGCCCGAGTCCATGATGCTAGCCATCCCCAGACAAATAAACCCTCCAAAAGAAAATGCCTCCCCTCTTATATCCGCTCATACCCTTCAAATTACAAAACAAAAAACTATCAAATAAAAAAATGCTTTTGGGAATAAACATTATTCAATTAACACTCTTAAAATTAAAATTGTAGTTCCCCATTATTCTTAAATAAAAGGAATTTAATATGAGAACAAATGCATAATACTTTCAACCTAACACCAATATAGCACATGAATTCCAAAAATATAACAATATTAAAATATATATTTGATAGTTAACTCTAAACTAAATAATTATAGCAGTAATTAATTATATTGAGAAATTATAATAACAAAAATAAATTTAATTTCCAGGATGATCTTCAATGTAAAGAAATCAAAATATACTAGACAGTTCCAAAATAACAATATAGAGATAAACAATATTTACACATTATTCATATACTTAATAAAAAATTACAGGCTATAAATTCCGTATTAAAAAAGTAAACAAATTCGAAATAAAATCAGATTATTGCGGGACAATACCTAAATTCCCTTTTCCATGGTATTTGCCAAGATTAAGAATAAAAAAGTATTTGCTATCTCAAAAATAAATACATTATTCCTTTTTTTTGTCAAAAACCAAACATTTAAACAAAAAATATTAGAGAGATACCGCGTTGTCGCTGTTAAATATTTACAGCTATTTTCTTCTTTGTTGAAGCATCCCAAGCGAAAACTTTACCATTTTCAGTCCATGCCATGTGTTTTCCGAATTTCTCCTTGGTTTTCATTAATAAACTGTATCGGGCTCGAGTTAAATCTTCAAATATCGAAATAGGGGTATGCTTCAGTTCTTTTTTCGCCTGGTAAATCTTATTACGTGTCATATTGCTTACAAAGTTTACAATAATCGGCGTCGGTCCATTTCGTTCATCATTTTTTGATTTTAATCGAAAAGCATAGTCAATGTCTTTTAAAGACACTTGTATATTCAATTTTTCTGAAAGAATATCAGTCAGGATGGCTGGTAGGTCTTCATCTTTAGTTCTTTTAATTCCATATATTCGTAGAGAGTTCGCCTTTGATCTTTGTTCCAAATTTTCGACAGGATGCTGCAGTTCGGAAATTTCTTTTTTATTGCTATCAATTTTTGTTTTAATGTTCTTTAGTATCTCACAGACCTGGGTTATTTTAACATCAATTTGCTTGATTTTATCACTTAATTCTTCTTTTAGTTGATTGATAAAAGTAGCACATACCTTATTGATCAGTTTTTCCAGATCGTCCTCAGTTTTTCGTGAGTTACTTGTACTTCTGGTGCTGGGAGCAGGAACAGGAGATGTTTCATTCCGTCCCATGTTGCTGAACTTCTCTAATATGGTATACACAGTTTTGATTGGTCAATTTTTAATTAGCCAATAAATATTATAACTCGTTGGTTTTTAAATCTAAAAACTCATTACCGGAGTCTTTTAGGTTTTATTTTTTACTATAAACCACTTGTTTCACAGTTTTCCTTTTACTGAAAGTAACTAAATTTTAGAAAATATGGGGAGCGTGCTAAAAGACACGTCTACTCGCTCAGATACATCGACGATTATAGATATATAAAATACATGAAATTGTAAAGGATCAGCATATATTTACTATTTATAACTATACAAATTTTTATAGAGTTAATAAAGGATAAGTAAAGTTTTCGTAAAAGTGGATATTGTCACCGAAAAACTGTATAGAATCTGTATTTATGCGTTATCGATACTGTATAGATTCTTTATTTGCGTTATAAATATCATTCATCTATTCTCTATAGGAAAACATATACAGGCAGTGCTTTATGGTTGCTATAAAGATTAAATATAGAACATGTCTGTAAAGGAAATATTTGAGTATTCTTTAAATATGCTTTATATATGAAGTCTTTATCGCGACATCTTTATAGCAAAGAAACTAATCTATACAGGCTTGAGTTTACTATATCGCGTGGTTATACGGGTACGTTACAGATATGATAAAAACTGTCTAAAGTCCGCCAGTGCATTTCCAAATCGATATTCATTGTGTATGGCGTCCATACTTTTCAGTTGTTTGATGTTTGTTTTCTTTATTACATTGCCCATTTATTTTTTTTTTCTTCGTTGCGTTTATTTTTTATTCCTTTATCTATGATTTTATACGTTCTCTAGCATATCTGTGACGTAGTTGCCGCTTCGCTCCTATTGGTCCAAAAGTTAGGAGGCAGCCTGTTTAATATAGTAATCTTGAGTTGCGGCAACTTTTTGAAAGGCACCTTGTTAAAAGTGTATTCTCCTATTCCTAATAGAATTTGTTCTAGTATAAATAGCATTATTTTAGAATCAAATATACTGAATATCTCATAACTGATTTTATTTATATACAGAGTCTTAAATAAGTGCAAATATTTCTAAACACACACGTGGCATTCATAAAGATCTCATTACATATTTTCTCTTCACCGTTTTTCAAATAAGTCCAAAAAACCGGATTATTTACTTTGAAAATGGTTTTTTGCTTATATTTTGAGAACCGCTGGATTTTCTCAGGGTTTTCTCTCTTGTAAATTTAACTTACTAACAGCACATTCTTAAGATATTATGATTTTTAACTAAAAAATAAAAAAAAATATCAAATTTTCAAAAAAAAAATGCTAAAGAAACTCATAAATGTGTTTCTTGGATCGAAATATAGCATCTCTAAAAATATTTGTTACTTTTTCAAGACACACCCTGTATATCGTTTTATTTTCACGAGTTTTATTTGTGCGTGTTTGATAAAAATTATAAAAATTTCAGGCTTTTTTCCTTTGGAAAAAAATGATATACGTCTCAAAAGTGGCTCACCCCTATAACTTTTTTATTTTTTCAGATAAAAAAACGAGATTTGGTGTGTTAGTATATGACATAAATTAGGATTGATTGGTGTATTCAATTGTTTTTGGTCACTTCCCGTTTCACCGGAAATGACTACAACTTTGGATTTTTAAATGGCACCCTCGGTATTTTTTTACCTTATTTGATAGAAAATGACATTCTGAATAGAATGACATATGATATGTCAACTTTTGACATTCTTGCTTAATAAAAAATTGTATTTTAAAATTCAATGTAGAGTGCCATGGATATGGTAAAAACACTAATTCTTCATCAAGGAGCCTTTGAAAAATAGATTTGATCATCTAATGTTTTAGTAACTTGTCCTGGCCAGTTAGAGAATGGTCAAATTTTTAGGGTTGGGAGTATATTTGCAACAACAAAACGCCTGTCTGCGACAATTCTAAGCTATAAAATATAGGAAAAATTATTCAATATTCTTGGGCATATTATCTATATAGAAGAAAACTCCGCGATGGGCAATCAGTGGGTGGAATGGAAAATGAAGAAACAACCGAGGAAACAATGGAATAGTTGATGGGACATTTGTGGTTTAGAATGCAATCAGGTGTAAATTTTTTCAATATTACAGGCGTAACAATATTGTTGTCAGCTATAACCATTGCCTGGAAACTTATATGGTGAAGTTTTGATAAAATAATTTAGTACTCACTAAAAACACGGTATGTTGCTAGTGGTCGGAAAAATAATTTTTAGAGGTTCCTAGTTTATTTGGTTGCCTGTGATATGCATATACAGGCTGTTTCCTAATTAATCTAAAAAATAAAAAATCGTTAGAAAACGGCTTAAGGCTGGCTCTTAATAAGTATATTTATTTTTTTCTCGGCAACCGTTTGATGAACAAGAAAAACTCAAAAGATCAATTTTGTTGAAAAAGGATGGCCAGTCAAGAAAAAAATATATTTTCTTTAAAAAAGCGGTAGTGTACCATTTATTTCAAGCAAAATATCGATTTTTTTAAAATTTTTAACACCTTGTAGTACTTTAGACCTAATGGTTATATAAAAATTGCTTTAAGAACATATGAGGAATCACATCACAATTTTTTCGACTAATTAGAAAACACCCTGTATATTGTCAACTTGACAACGATTGTTGATAAATCAAAAAATACCTTTTCTGTGAAAGAAGCCCGTTTTTCGCAGGAAAAATTTTGGTTTTTATTGAATTTGGGCCTGCGCCTGCAAATACCGGTACGTTTTTTAATATTCTATCTATCTAAATTTTAAATATCATAGTCAGAAATAGTTTTATTATTTATTAACTGTAAAAATGGTATACTTATAAGTTTTATAAAATATTGTGATTTACTTTCTACCTTGTAGTCAAAATTTATATTTAATAAACTGTAAAATATATATATGTTTTATTAAAGTTACTCTGATATACTAATATATCAGTGTAACTTTAAAATCCTTTGAAATCAAATATAAACATAAAAAATATTTACAGCAGAAAAGGCGAAGGCGCTGGGTTAAACGTAGTCTCTACTAAGAATACGGAGGGACGCTTTGATCCAAAATTTTACTATTAAGTTTCATATCTATCTTAATAGAAGATTATTTTCTTTTATCTATGGCTATAACCTAAGATGTCGATTGACGAATATGAAGTAAACTTACATATATTTTTATTATTTATTAAACTTAAATATTTACAAACTATATTCGCTTAATTATAACAGTAATACACAAAATAGTAAGATAAAAATATAAAAATATGTTTATTTTTCATTTAATAAATTTTATGTAAACTACAAATCCATTTTACATGTTTTTTATCTATATAAATATTTTCAAATCAGATTAGACTAAAATACTTATGACAAAAAATAGATATAAAGAACTTTAATATATTTTTATGGCAGTGAAAATTTCTCTAATTTTTGGAATATTAAAATTATACTGTAAATTCCTTTTCATTCCTAAAATTATCACACAGATCATAGTTGCAATCGATAATATGGTTAGACATTCACATAATATCAGGTATTTCATTTTTTATACACCATGAATGATTTTAATTACAGAGAAACACTAAGCGGATACCGCTAATTATTTATAACGATCATATCAATTTGTAATTTTTTCTATGTACAATAAATTAACTAAACCAAGTTACAATTTTACATTTATTTTTAACAATTAAGAAAGCGCAACATATGGTTATCTATCGGCTCGGTGGTGGGGCAGGGGTAAACTGTTGACAGCTTTCGACATTTTCTGGCCAATCGCATACGTTTTGGTTGGGGTTGAAGACTAGATTGGCCGGACATGGCATGTGATGTTTTCGTTCGCCTTCACACATGTAATACATTTTGCAATCCGCCTTGTCAGGGTGGTAGCTGATGTGACCGTCTTCTTCGTCGCATGTTATTTCGGTCGCTGTAAGAAAAATTTCCAGAATTATTCCACAAAGTATCATTACTAGTTAATCACTTATTTTAATTTAAAATCAAAAATAAGCTTAATAGGGTCTGATAACGGTTATTATTTTTTGTTCTAGTATTCTTGATAACAATATCTAGATAAATTATAGTTAAGTACATGTTAAACAATCGTAATATAAAATATCAGTTTTCTATGGTGTTATCTAGGCCATAAATATTTACTATGTTTGTAATGAATATTTTAAATCTACCATATGATCGAAAAAAACAGGGTCAAAAACGACTGGGAATGACAATCGATGATTATTTTGGGGAGGCTAATCCCTCGTCGTTATTTGCTAAAAACTGACATAAAACTTGTGAAAACTTAACAATAATTTTAGAAAGATGGAAAGAAAAAAAGGATAGAACGTTTTCAGACTCACAAATTTATTTGCTAAAAATTATTTTTCTCGAATATTAAACTATACAATTGAGATGTCGGGGGTTCTTGGCTTAACCACCCGGTCCAAGAGGAGACAACCTCACCAAAAACCTAAATCCTACGGCGGCGGGACCAGGTCAAAGAAATGCGTGGCTATGCGTGGCGTTTACAAGACTAGTTTCTACTGGTCAAAATCTTGGTGCACCAGGGAATACCTATTGTATTATTGCCTCCCTTACCTCTACATGCAGGGCTGTATAGAAGTGGACCGACTAACCCTTGCGGTAAATTTAAAGGGAAACACTGTAACAATAATACTGAGAACTTTAACAGTGCAAAGTTCCAAGGGACTAACCCCAAAGGGAACTACAGGAGAGGCAGCTGCAGTTGCACGAGACCAGCCTCCACAAGTGCTATACAAGCTACCACCTTTTCTAGTAAGGGTCGGAAGCCTCTCTCTATAGTAGCTATCTATCTCGTAGCTGTCAACAAGCTACGCAAGCTACCGTTTCCCCTAAAAGCGGGCTAAACGACCCGCTTAGAGTAGATCTCAACGGAGAAGGAGCACGGAGATCCCTCCGACTGCTCCACGAATTATTTGCTCCAAAGGAAACAAAAGCGAAAACACTCCTCGAAAAGGGGCAGAGTAGAGAAACCAAGAAGCAGCTTGGTGCATCTCCTCAAGCAAGAGGGGGAGCAAGAAACTCTAACCTGTGCTCCAGTTAGGATAGAAAAAGCCAGGATGAAAATCCGCCCAACACCTGGAGGCAATCAGGGACGTATCACCAGTTTGCCAGAACTCCAATGTAAAAACATCAAGTTGGCGAGTCATCAACTCGAGAAAGGAGGGCCATGGTTAGGTTCTCACAATAGGAATTGACATCAAATCCAAGGAGGCTATAGAAAAAGAGATATCCTCTATTATAGATTCGGGACAACACTGGTATCAGGTCTAAGAAGAGACCAAGTTAAAGAGGTGGAGAAAATGGAGACAGATTCACCAGCTTCCACCTCACGGGTACCTCAGCCGGAGACAAGCTCCTCGACTCTGAAGGACACGGTGAGCCAAACCCCAACCGTGGAAGGCTGTATACCCTCGTAAGACGTAAATGTCCACTCCTCGGAGAAAGAATATCTGTTATCACAGAAGGATGAAAAATATCTTGTGCCCCTACAAGAGAAAAATACCCATGTGTGATTAGTTTAACTCAAGAAAGTGGGACATAATAATAGATCTTTAAGATCGCGGCGGTGATTAACCCCGCTCCCACTCACTCTACATTCTACATTTTACAAAAAATAAAGAAGAGTAAGTAAATGAAGTGTAGAGCTTGACTTCGCCAAAATTATAATCGATTGTCATTCCCTAGCCATCTTTGATGCCGTTTTTTTTTTCGTGATCGTATTATATTAACTTTTAATATTGTATTGCAAACAGCGAGGTAAAATATAATAATATATATTTGCTAATAAGAGTAATAATAGAGTATGTCACATAAGTGCTTTCCATAATAAAACGGCCGGAGAAAAAAGGTCAGAAAAAATGATCTCCTAAAATCTAGTGGTAAACGTAATATTTACTTACGATCTTTGGTGGTGTACTGTCCTGAACCGACATTAGTCTCATAAGGGCCCTCAAACTCTAACTTTACTTTATAGCCCTCTAATTCTTGTCTCATCGCATTAATGAGTGGATATTTTCCACTACCACAGGAACCTTTGAAGTCATCCATATCAACTGACCAAATCATTATGCCTCCAAATCCTTCTTCCTTCAGCCAGGCCATCTAAAGTAGAATAATCTGGATAGAATTGTTTTCTCTCAAATAATATTAAGAACTTTACCTTAGTTTTCAAACTTCTTTCGTCATCAAAACCAACCCACTGATTCTCTTTGTAAGCGAAGGGTACTTGTTGTTCGTTATCCCAAACCAGGGTCACGTTATCGCCTTGCAGGAAATCACAGATTTCATAGAAACTCATGAAACCTGCTTCGGAAGTATATTTGCCTGGTTTGCCTCCACCGCTTGCAGGTGCACCGATATCGTACTGGGTTTCGTTAACCAACTCGAAACTACGACCATATGTTGGCATACCAATCATCAATTTTTCTTTAGGTGCTCCTTGTTTGACCCATTCTCTAGCAGAATAATCCTAAACATAGAATAATATTTAATAATATTTTATTAATATCGTGAGTCGGGGGAAGAATACATTCTTATTAAACATTAGCTCTATTAGCTAGAAAATATTTTCGTCATGAAGATATTTAATTATTACCAATTATTGAAGTGACTCATATCAATGGCGTAAGACCTTCCACAAAAACACGAACCAAAAGTGATTATTTTCACGAGTATTTATTGAGTTACCAAAACAAATTTGACATTAAAGCCAATAAAATTACTATAAGTCTTTCTTCAAAATATCGATATTAAGAGGCGATTAATTAAAGCAATCCTTGGAAATCCTACAAACTAAATATTTATCATTTTTTCTCAGAGAATTTTGGTTTAAAAAACGTAGTAATTATTTTTTACGCAAAGAACATAATATATTCATTTTAAAGAAAATCGAAAAGTGCTGTTATTTAATGTAAATAATGCTGTTAAGAATGTATGCTGAATACATTCTAATTTGAACAATATTGGACAAGCCGATTTTATGTAATTCAAGAAAAACTACATATATTTTTAAATTAAAACTAGGCAAATGCTAGAGTACCTAAGTTGTTATCCTAAAATTTTGCGAATGTCAAACTGAATTTTCTAAACGTTAGGCTTTTGCGTCATTCGATGAGTTATCACTCAAGGAAGGGGGCACGATAGATCTTTAAGTTCGCAGTAATTAACCCCCCCTCCCTCTCACTCATTCTACATCTACATTTACCTCATTCGAGTCAGTTTTAAATAAAAAAATACAGTTCGGGGATACTAAGCTTTGGTACTATAGTTTGGTACGTAGTAGTATAGAGAACACAACAATCTGTTCAGTTTTAGTTTAAAAATAGAGGCAGTTTTTCTTAAGTTATTCAAAATCGGCTTGTCCAAAATTGTTCAAATTGGTTTTATGTATATTCAGCATAGGCAGACCTTAAAAAACTGTTTTCGACTTAGCTGTAAACTTAATAGGAAAGCCAATATTTGGACAGTTAAAAATTTGAAATGAAATTTCCTATGTATCCAACAACAATGCACCACCCGGTATACTTGAAAAATTTTAGTACTTACAACTGTCAATTTCTTTTGATAACCTGTAGCACTTTCCAAAGGAAACAGAGGACTGTTGTGGCCTACAGTCCTTTCCCACTGACCATGAAAATCATATGTCATTACGTTGATGAAATCTAAATATTTGGCTATTTCTGGAACATCGTATCCGGCAGCTATAGCTTCGAAAGATGCGGGAACAGCGGCTGTAAGAAGTAATCGGGGCTGTCCACTTGTTTTAGTTTCCCCTTCGAATGCTACTCTTAGCTCTTTCAGTAGGGAAACGTATGCTATTTTGTCATCGACACCTGTCGAAACACGGCTTATAATTTATCAAATAAATAAACAAACCGACATTAAATTCTGGACAACAACACAGGGTGCGCACCTCATCAGCCTCGGTTAATTATACAAATACGGAAAGATGTCGAAACAAAATATTTTATGGGTATACGTGTATGTATATATGTGGGAAGACAATGTGCGTAATTTAAAATTATGTTGAAATGTACAGGGTGTGTCAGAACCGAGGTCAGAACTAAGATCCATACCAGAGTTATATATTTTCTTATGGAACACCCGGTATTTTATTTAATTTTTGGATTCTAGGACATAAAATAAATCATTTATTATAAGGGTTTAATATGTTTAAAAGGTTTGGTTTTTGAGATATTTAATAATATTTAAATATGCATGCTATAATAAAAAGATTTTTTAACACCCTGTACATTACTTTTCAGAATTCATTCTTGTACTGACTTTTAAGCCAGAGCAATAGACTTTACTAAAAAAATTGATTGCTTCTTTAAATTTATACAGGGGTATCAAAAATTCCTGCTCTATTTTAAATATTTATTTTACATAAAAACTTCGTTATTTCAAATTCACAACACTCTGTATTTCTTAAAATAAGTCAAAGCAGATTTAAATGTTCTTTCAAACTCTATTAGGGTTTTCTATACCTATCCGGCTCAGATTTTGAATAAAAAGCGATTTTTCAATAAAATAACAATCAAGATGGCTGGTGTCGCCATGGCAATTTTCTAGTGACAGTGACAGTTAGTAGCTTTTAACACAAACGAAAATATTAGAATTTTTTTAAACGCCTATATCTCAAATCTATGGATTGGAACTGGGACCCTCGATTTCCGAAAGGATTCTTGAAAAATAAAATATATCGTGGTAAGTACAATAATGCCGAAGACTTGGAGAATCAGGCAAGCGAGGCGAGCATTTAGATATTTGCGAACCCATCCGTAACCACCGTAATAACAAGGCCCGACAGCTGTGACGTAAAAATCTCGTGACGTCACCAACTGTAGGCGTAACTCTATTTAGCAGCGTTGATAATTACCCGATAAAAGTTCAAATTGTGGATTTTTTTTTCACTCAGTAGATATATTTCGAAGTTTTAAAATGCGATGAAAATAATAAATTTATAACTTTTATCTGTATTCAATATTAAAGATATTAACTTAGCTGGGAGTCAGTACAATATTTGTGTTCGACATTTATATGAAGGCGAAAAGAAACTTAGGATTCAGTCATCAATGTCCTTAAAATCTACTTGTTTTGGTTCTATAAAAATCGATACTTTTTATGATTTTATGATGACAATACCTTGTCTAAAGAAATACCACGCGATACAAGTACCATCGAATCAGAATGGTTTAACATCGACATGACTATTTCTAAACAAGATATCGAAAGTGTGAAAGAAGAAAGGCCTGTTATTGCTTATTTAGAAGGATATTGCTGTTATATTGTCTTAAAGGAAATTAAATGCGATACATGTAAGAATAATTTAACATTCTCAGACAACAGTGATATTAAACAAAATACACGTATAAAAAACCTTACTAAAGGCAGTCTTGGGTTTCCAAAAGATGAAATAACTAATATAGTTTTATTTGAACATATGATTTTTAACAAAGTTTTGCAAAGCCATGAGGAGTTTCTCAAAATTCACAATAAAAATATATTTTTATCAAAAATATCTTTGTATTAGATTAAAAATAATAACACCATTATTAAAGTTTCCGCAATGTACTATTTATAATGCCAAGTTATCGTAAAAAATGTCATAAATTCTATTAGAAATACACGTCTGAAAAACTACTGTTGTAAAAAAAAATGATAGACTTGGAAAAGGAAATAAAAGAAACTTAGACACACTTACAGCATAAATAAATACAATGACGATGGATAATGTGAGATATCAAGATGTATTTTAAATTTTATGTTTAATTATTATTTATTAAAAATTCGGTGCAATTAAAGTTTATATCCATTATATACGTATAAAGTGTATCAAATGCAATCAAAGTTTAGGCCTCCAGTTGATGACGTCACGAATAAGATGTGCGGCCTTGTTATTACGGTGGTTACGACCCATCCCGTTTAATCAACGTTTTGAGAAGAATCAGGACAATTTGCCAACAATGTTTACAACAGTTTGCACCAAAACCCGGAGCATATTGAACATGTCATTTAATATCTGATATATTTTTGTTTTAGTTTATACGACTAATATTTTAAGAAAGTATTTGAAAATATTCAAATAAGTTTCAGTGGTAACAGTATAATAGTAAAATATTTTAAGTGTATAATAAAATTTTAATATGTGTACGAATTATAAATATCTCAGTAAAATACCATTTTGATTTCTTTTGTTATATATCTAATAAACAAATTATCTTTTGAAGAATATTTCACTCATCTACAAAAAATCTCATATGTAGGGGGGAATTTTCGGCGACACTTGCCCGCTAAAATAGAAAATTACCCGGCGAAAATTTCCCGCAAAATGTCTAAGTGACAATAACACATTTGTCACTTAGACGTAAATTATTTTTAATAGGTATTCTAAAAATGTCTCGATTTGGAAACAATTCTTTAAGTGCAATTAAAGAAAAAGTTGCCAAAAGTAAGCCGAAAAACACTATAATTAATCACCAGTATGTATGGAAACAGTTTATGGACTTTATAAAAGATAGAATCTAAATTTTGGATGCGAACATCTCAATCTCGGCACTGGCCAATATTTTGACCGATTGGGCATTTAATATGAAAAGAAAAATCGGCCAAGACTATAAGGATTTTACATTAAAACTATTTGGAATGTAACAGCCAAGCTATTAATGGCAATACCATAAAGAATATAATATTAAATTTAATCCTTTTAAGCTTGATTTTCATGCATCCGTTATCCGACGATACGATGATACGATATTAATTTTATTGGTTGAATTTAAAGGCAGCATCTTCGAACTACAACTGGTATTCGCCAAGGAGACAGTCTCATCCCTATGTTATTCAACACAATCATGGATCAAGTAATAAAAACCGTCAAGAATACTGGATTAGGATATCGAATGGGAATGCATAAAGTAAACATATTATGCTATGCCGATGACGCAGTACTTATTGCAGAGTCAGAGGACGACCTCCAAAGAATACTACAAGCTTTTAACAGACAGGCAGAAAAACTTAACATGCAATTTCCACAAATAAGACCAAATGCATGACCATTACAAAGGAGCCTCTACGGTGCAAATTGGTAATAAAAAACAAAACTATTGATCAGATAATGTCATTCGAATACCTCGGATGCAAAATTACAAGCTCAGGATTCCTGGAAGAAGAAGTAAGGAAACAAGCCAATAAAGCTGCCGCAATATCAGGACATCTTAAATATCCCATATGGAAAAACAAACATTTGAGTACAGAATGTAAGTCAAGAATATACAAAACCTGCATACGACCAGTGATGACATATGGTGCGGAAACCAGAGCTGAAACATCAGTAACAAAGAGAATCCTACGAACTACTGAAATGAAGACCTTAAGAATGATAACTGGATACACATTGAGGGACAGACAGAGAAATGTAGACATAAGAGAAAAGTGCCAAACAAACGACGTTGTCAGATGGATAAGGCAGAGAAGAAGAGAAAGGAACCAGCATGGCAGAAGACCTACGTACCCCATGGCAGAAGACCTACTTTACGACCACCTAAACGGTGTCCCCAAATGTAAAATTTTAAAAATACCTTTTAGCTCAGAAACTATAGGGCTCTGAAAATTTTGTTTACAGTATATTCCGTTTTACAAAAAAGTAGGACAAGTTAAAAAAAAAACACATCTTCTTATCTTCACTAATGATGGAACGACAATATGATTTCAACAAAAATTGACATCTTTATACGTTCGTTATAAGACACCGCCAAGAACAAAAGAAAATGAAAAACGCTCTTTATCGCGTTTTATCAATTAGAGGATATATGTCAAAAGAACAAAATAGTCTAAAGAATAATATTCCTTAAGACGCGCACTCCGCCAAAAACTCAAATTCGTCAAAATTGGAAAATAATTAAAAAAATATAGGCTCATCAGACTGGCTTTATTTGTTTTGTCCAAAATTGATTGTCAAAGATTGTAGATATATTTTGCTATTTTATTGCATTATATTTACCTCTAGGATATTCCCAGTCTACATCCAATCCATTAAATTTATACTCTCTAAGAAAATCTATAGCATCGTAGACAAACTGATTCATTCTGAATACGTTTCCAGTTAATTCCTTAAACGGTGTAGAACCAAACGCCCAGCCTCCGATAGCTAGAAGAACCTAAAAATATCATAAATTATATTTCAGAAAATTATTGACTAAAATTGATTTACTTTCAAGTCCGGATTCTTTTCTCTTAATGCTATAACTCTATCATACATTTCTGGATCTTTGTCGCTGGCTTCTGTAAGCTTGTGTTCCTCCAAAGTAGCAAAAGCATAGATAATGTGAGTACACAAAGCTGGATTAATATCTTCTGGTAAGAATTTTCCTGCTCCTGGACGCTTTTGAGACCAACTGGTTATGTAGCAAAAGACTTGGGGTTTGCGAACTATACAGAAATATTTTATGACTGTATAAAATAACTTATTTGATAAAAAGTACCTTTTTTGTTGATGACCTTATTCGATTTTTAGTTGACGGTTTTCTAGCTCGTTTAAGTACTTCTGAAGCAGATATTTTAATAGGTTTTGGTTTCTCCTCTTCTTCTTCCTCTTCCTCATCTTCACTAGGTCCGGCAATGGCAGCCCAATCTACATCTTTGGCATCTTTACCTCTAGTTATACCACGTAATTCTTCTCTAAATAAATAAAAGAGATCAAAGGTACTAAATATGCCTGAATCAAGAACGCAATTTTACCTCATAGCACCTATTAGTGGATATTTTACATCTCCTCCACATACCGTACCAGTAAAATCGTCCATGTCAATTGTCCATACCATAGCACCACCATATCCGTTTTCTTTAATCCATTTCATTTTGTGTCTGATTGATTTCTCGTCATCGAAACCGACCCACTGATCACCATCGACCAGGTATGGAACTTTCATCTCTTCGTTCCAATAATAAGTGGCACCGTTTCTCAACATTTCACAAATCTAGTAAAGTAAAAAAAAATAGATGAATCGCCGCCGTTACATTAACATTATATTTTAAAATTGAATAGGCTTGAGCTAAAATTGTTTTGGCTTGAGCTAGAATAAGCTTTTAAGCTTCAAGCAATATTGTTACTTTGTTTATTAAAATATTTATGGTTCTGCACTATAAAAGTAGTTTTTTTTTCAAAAGATTTTACTTTCGTATATATGCATCTCTTTGTGCACAAAGAAACCTGGGAAAAAACCTGCAGGTTTTGGATTCGTATCATCGCACATGGTTTGGATATGCCTATATTATTTGTTTCAGCTTTGTTGGGATTTGGATTTGTTGACAGATGTACAAAGTTTGTTTATTAGTATGGTTTAATAAGATATTAAGTCCATTATAAAAATGTCTATACCTATGTGGCGGATTCATCTCTCCAAAATCCTATTTGGGTATTTCGCCCCTAAACTGCAAGAAAATCTACAAAATAAAATAGTTATTTTTTGCAAACACTTCTGCGTTAAACCCAAACGGAAACTACTTGTTAGAAGTTATGTTTACAGTTATACAAATTTGCTTAACAAAGAAAAAATGCTTAACGTTTCGGAAAGTTTATCTCTTTCCGTCGTCGGAAGCAAAAAAAATACAAAGAATAAAGGAAAAACTTTTTAAAATATTTAAATTCAACTATTTGAGAACACTTTAGTTTTTTTAAACAGATACGTCCTTTGGATACGTCTACAAGAAACCGTTAAAATGCCGTTGACGTTCTGTAAAATGACATTATATCAAGTTAAAGTTCAAAATTAACAATTACTACCTGATAACAATTACTTAATAAGGCAAAACCGTTTAAAATATGAGGGCACCCGTTTAAAATAAGAAAGTTCTGTCAACTCCGGTACTTCCGGAAGTGCCGCCATATTGAAAATGTTTTTAATCGATAGATCTCGTTGTGAAACAATGATATGCCGAAAAAATCTCCGATCCAGATATTGTACTTCTTTGGTAGTTCTCTAGAAACTTCTAATGCAAGCTCAGCCTGGGACACCCTGTATAAATACTTCAATTTGGTCATACAATACGTTTTGTAAAATTCCATCTTTACAAAATATGCATTAGAAGTATATCATTATCTGAACAGACCGGGGGCCACATTTAGCTTCGCCGCCCCGGGCTCCCGACAGCCTTAGTCCACCACTCCATCAACGGTTTCTTGTAGACGTATCTGTTTTAAAAAACTAAAGTATTCTCGAATAGTTGAATTTAAATATTTTAAATAGTTTTTCCTTATTTTTGTATTTTTTGCTTCCGACGCGCGACCACGTAAAGAGATAAACTTTCCGAAACGTTAAGCATTTTTTTTGTTAGTCAAATTTGTATAACTGTAAACATAACTTCTGACAAGTAGTTTCCGTTTGGGTTTAACGCAGAAGTGTTTACAAAAAATAACTATTTTGTTTTGTAGATTTTCTTACAGCTCAGTGGCGAAATACCCTTTGGAGAGATAAGTCCAAGGTACCAGATGGTATACAGGGTGGCCCATCGAAAACGTTTCGCAAGGCAAAACGGCTAGGGTATATCTTTTTTCAAAAAATCCAAAAATACGTCAATTCTGTTTGTGAGGGGGACAACTTTTGTCCCAAAATGATTGCAAAATCTTCAACCCTCTGAGCAGGGGGTGTCATCCCCAACTTTTTCAAACGGGAAGGGGGGGGTCAAGTGGCGCCGCAATGAAAAGAGCTTTCTATTCTTTATATTTCCCCGCCTCGTTTTTGAAAATCGGTCGAGTCATTGAGAAAATATGAAGGATTGAAATTTGAAAAGTTTATTTAAACATTTATCAGACTAAATGATAAGGATAAATTCCTTCGACCAATTTGCTGTTTTTTCTTATTATTTCTAGATGTTTACGCATTTTTCACTTGCCACAAGGTTGAACGATCAGGTGCGGTAGTTGCTAGATAGCTGTTCTGTGACTTGTGCGTTGAAGTTCTTCTCAATATCGTTAAACTGACCCACAATAGAATTTCCAAAAATACCAGCCCACACGTTCAATTTCTGAGGGTTTTGTGTGTGCACCTCGTGAAAAACCCTGGGGTTGTCCTCAGCCCAGTACCGACAGTTTTGCCGATTAACTACATCATTCAAAAAGAAAGTACACTCATCCGAAAAACACACATTAAATAGGAAATTATTATCATTCGCCACTCGTTCACTCATAGTTCCACAAAATTGCAAGCGACGATCAAAATTATCTTCGTTGAGTTCTTGTACTAATTGAATTATGTACGGGTGGAACTTGTGTTTTTTTAATATCCTTTGGAAATTTGTACGATTCACGCCGGTCTCATTAGCTAATTTTCTTGTACTCAGCGTACTATCCATGGCAACTTGGCCCAATACGGATACCTCCATAGCTTCATTTACTACAGGATTTTTCCTCTGCCTCTTTTTATTCATAACGGAACCAGTTTCACGAAATTTTGCTACTAACTCGCGAACAATTTTGCCATAAAGGTGTTTGTCAGGATGGCGTTCATTGAATACCTGCGCAACCCGATTGCCACATTCATTATTTTTAAAACAAAGTTCGATTATTTCCACTTTTTCTGCAAGTGAGTAAATCATAATTGTTAAAAAGTTTAACGATATTGAGAAGAACTTCAACGCACAAGTCACAGAACAGCTAGCTAGCAACTACCGCACCTGATCGTTCAACCTTGTGGCAAGTGAAAACATGCGTAAACATCTAGAAATAATAAGAAAAAACAGCAAATTGGTCGAACGAATTTATTCTTATTATTTACTCTGATAAAGGTTTAAATAAACTTTTCAAATTTGAATCCTCATATTTTTTCTATGACTCTACCAATTTTCAAAAACGAAGCGGGAAAATATAGAGAATAAAAAGCTCTTTTCATTGCGGCGCCACTTGACCCCCCTTCCCATTTGAAAAAAATTGGGGGATGACACCCCCGCTTAGAGGGTTGAAGATTTTGCAATCATGTTTGGGGAAAAAGTTGTCCCTGTGTGTTTTTCGATTTTCTAAAATAAAATACCCTAGCCGTTATGCCTTGCGGAACGTTTTCGATGGGCCACCCTGTATAAAATATATGTACCTTAAACACCAAATTTCTGCAAGTATTAAACATGGTACAAATCATGTCTCAAGTGAAGGTGCGGTAAAAACATTATCACAAAAACAAAAGGCTATTAGGACAATAATGAAATAGAGAAATAAATCATTAAAGAATTACATAAGAATGCACCAAAAATTTAAAATTAATAATAAAGCTATAGGATCAGAAATAGCAAAATTATGTTGATATGTCCCAGCATGCCAAAGAGACTACACAATATACATCAAGATGTAACAATAAAAGAAAAATTTTCTTTATGTTAGTATGATTACTTTTAACAAAAACAATACTACACAAAATTTGAAAACAATTTATAAGGCAGTTAAATAAAATAATTGGTTTTGAAAAAAATAGATAATACAACAGGTTTAAATGCATGTTCTCTTAACTAGAGTATAATAACTTTTTATTTGTTGGAAAATAATTTTTATTAAGTGTTAATACTCCATAATATACCACCTTAAGAGAATTATATCTATATTTTATATAATCTAAAATAAATGAATTTTAGTACAGAACATTTTATTTTTGTCCCATTTTGGTTATACCGTATGATCGAGAAAAAACGGCGTCAACGATGGCTATGAAATGAAGATCGCTGTCATTTTATATGTAAATTTATATGGGAAATGTCATTGATCGTCATTGGCTCGCCGTTTTTTTTTCGATCATACGGTATCTTTATTGATATTTAACAAAAATCTGTTTGGTAATTACCAGCTGAGCATGACATAAAAAATTCTTAACAAATTCTAATGTTTTTGAATATTTAAAATGGATATTTCTTCATAAATATCTTATATAGGGTGTTTTAAAAAGCCGGTGCCATCTCTCGTGGGGAGATTCCTGACGTAAAAATAAGATTTATTTTTCATATCAACATAGATCCTATTCCGCTTTGTTTCGTAGCTACAGGGAGTTAAAATCTTAATTTTTTTCTCGATCAGTGCTACTATTTTAGCTATATTTTAATGCTATAAATGTATGGACAAGGGACGTGCTCAATGAGATGTGCTGGGTTATAAATGGAATACTTTTCTAAAAAATACATGTGCTCTATTGACTTTTTTTCTTTTGTTAATGTTGTGGATTTCGGTCTCCTGTATGGGAAAACAAAATTTTATTAATTTTTTAATTCAAGTCCAATAGGGACATTTATTAATTGTGATTAATAAAATTTCCTTTATCTTATCAAGGAGATCGAAATCGAGAAAATATCGGGATACAACTTTTAATAGGCATTAAACGGTCTACACCAAAGAAAATAAAGTCTCCCTACTTTGGGTGCCCGCTCACCAAGGGATAGAATGCAATGAAAAAGCAAACCCTCTATCTAGAACATGAGCGAACACTCCACTAACTGGACCAGAACCGTTCTGCTTTCTAAGCGGAAACCAAGTTCAAGCGGAACTGAAGAACCTGGAGGACTCCATCCGTAACGTGGAGTGGGAATCCTCCAGCGGTCTAAGATACTTGAAAAAGTTCCTCAGAACTTACAACCGGAAAAAATCAAAGATTTTCCTTGATTTAAGTAAGAAAAATCTACGGATTGTCACGGGGTTTCTAACAGGACACTGTCTCCTCAACGGACACGTCAGTAGATTGAAGCTGAGAAACAACGGCGAATGCAGATTCTGTGAGGAAAATAGGGAAACACCAAAATACCTTATCACTGAGTGCGCCGAGACGGCAATCGTCCGTGCCATAAACTTTAGTACGGCTGATGTCGAAAAGTTAGAGCTAGCCTCTGTGGAGCCGTCTCAGATACTCGATTTTGTCAAATCATTGAGACTGTATGATAAGTTATAGCCCGCTATAACTCAAGTAAGGGGAACACACAATAGATCTGTAAGGTCGCGGTGATTAAGCCCCATAATAATGCAAAACATTCTACATTCTACAACAGTCTACACCATAGACTTAAAATAAAATATAGACTACACTATTTACATCTCAACGCGGTCAAAGAAGCTTTTTTGTACACATGTTTACTTCTGGGTACAGTCGACCGAGCCTTCCTCATCCAGCCTATGTTGTCACGTCTTTAATATTATCAATATTTTTTTCTTGTTATACACATATATTGAGATATTAATACTACAGTCTAATAAAGTAGGTTTTAATATTCCATAGATGTATTAAATAGTCCTTATACTACTAAATTATAAGTCGGATACTGTTTAAAAAGGATAAGTTCTTTACAATATGACAACACCGATTAGAGACGAGGGAGCCTATTCATTCATTTATTACCTTGTAGTACGTGTCGCACGTGTGCGGTAAAGCTTTGTTGCCGCTATCTCCCGGCTGTATTAACGCATTTTCTTAGCTTGTAGTCCTTAAGTGTTTATTTTATTGACTTTTTCTGTTCAAGAACTATAAAATGTGGTTCGCCAGTGCCAAATTTACAAGAAATTTGACTTAAATAATCCATTTAAGACTTGAAACGACTTTCGACCGGTAGGCAACTCTCAATTTACCCATTAGGAGTCAGTGACGTTGTTGTAGAAAGGCGATTATTTAGATAATATTTTAGTAAAATGTAAAATCTGAATTTTTTCTCTTACATTATTTACTTACTTGCATTGTAACAAAATCATAATTATAACCCTGTTAATAATTAATAATGTTTTTATTAAAAATATATTCCGGTTTATTCTAAAATTATCTTCAGAATCTAAAATAACATACAAGAATTTTAAAATGATATTACATTATCAAACAATATTTTTAATATACCGGATCGTCTCGAAAGTGGCTCACCCCTATAATTTTTTTATTTTTTCAGATAAAAACAGATTTGTATGTTAGTAGGTATATGATATAAATTAGAATTTATTGACGTATTCAATTGTTTTTGGTCTCTTCCTGTTTTACCGAAATGATTATATCTTTCGATTTTTAAAGGCACCCTCGGTATATTGCTACTTTATTCGATAAAAATGACACTCTGAATAGAATGACATATCATATGTCAACTTTTAAATTTCAATCCAGGGTACCATGGTGTTGTTAAAAACACTAAGTTTTAATCAAGGAGCCTTGGAAAAATAGTTTTGATCGTCTAATGGGTTTCGTGTCTTGTCTAGGCCGGTTAAAAGATGTACAAATCGTATTTTTAATCATACATACGTCAATTTTTTCAAATGGAACAAGGGTGGCTCATTAGCATATTTGGAAAAAGCATTTTTTTATGAATATATTGATACCACATACTTGGTATTTCGAGTCAAATTGTCGTTATGAACCGCGTGTTACAATTACAATTAAACCATATGCGAAAATGTCAAAAGTTGACATATGATATGTCATTCTATTCAGAGTGTCATTTTCTATCGAATAAAGTAGAAATATACCGAGGGTGCCGTTTAAAAATTAAAAGTTATAGTCATTTCCGGTGAAACAGGAAGTGACCAAAAACAATTGAATACGTCAATCCATCCTAATTTATGTCATATACTAACATCCTAAATCTTGTTTTTTTATTTGAAAATATAAAAAAATTATGGGGATGAACCACTTTTGGGACACACCCGGTATAATAAAGACAGTACCGAGTTAAATAAATGTAGTTTTCATTTTATCCACTTCCTATCACCTTCCTTGCTTTAATGGAACAAATTTATGTTATCTCTAATTTACATAATAAGACATCACTTAACCAGAAAAAAAACAACAATGATATTTTTTTTTCTCTCGCTGTCGCCGATTCTATTATATCTGTGGAATAGATCCTGTTTTGATTAATATTAGGGGTTGTAAATGTTTGACTAAAATTAATAATTTATTTTTAATTTCAAAAATTACCTAATTTCGATTATAAAATTTCTTCTATAACGTGTATTTTATTATTTTTATCCTTTTCTAAGGGCTCTAAGACGTTTTTTTCTAAACTTTTATTTAAAAACCTGTCCTAAATCTTAATAAAATATAAAAAGTTTAAATATGATATATTTTTAATTTAATTATAGCTTCATTAAAATAAAAAATTTACCCGGCTATGATACGGAGAGTTCAGGTGTACTTGAGAAACGAAAGACAGTGTTGTGTTTCTCGGCAGAGTCGTCAGGGAACGACCGTTACGACCGAGACAACCTATCTATCGCTCGTGTCGCACTCGTTATAACCTAAAATAATAACACAACAACATCGCAACAATAACAAGACATTGTCTGACCGCATGTTCCAGCTATTTATGAAGCTCAGTCTATATTTTATTTTAAGTCTATGGTCTACACACAATTTTGCTAACAATAGAAAAAAATTCAGTAGCGCACATGTTTTCTTTTCGTAAAATATTCCAGTGATATTCCACATGCATGCATGCCCCTTGTTTAATAACGCAAAACAATTAACCCTCTGTAGCTTTTAGTAGGAAACGAAGCAGAATCGGACCAATGTTGATACAAGAAATAAATCTTATTTTTGCCTGAGGAATCTATCCACCATGTCACAGGTTTTTTGAAACACCCTGTAGAAATTAAAAGTTTATAAAAAAAGTCAGTTTATACAGGGTGGGCCAATGGAAACTTTCAACCTTAATTTTTCTCGTTTAAAATTAAAATTTGGAAAAACGCTCGGACACGTCGATTTAGTTTTCGAGGGGGAAAAGAAAATATCATAAAATCACTTTCACACCTATAACCCCCAAGGCGGGGGCGGCGCCACCCCTAAATTCTTAAATAGAAAGGGGGCCCTTGTGATACGTCATGTGAAAGGTCCTTCAATTCCCTTTTTAATGATATAAGATATCATGTAGTTTCGTTCAGCAGTTTGAGAGATTTATTGATTTAAATTAGATTTTAATTTATCAGCTAAGTGGTGAAAAAATCAGTTTTTATTTTTGTTCTCTCTCTGCGTGGATTTTTTTGGCAAACCATGTATACTAAAAATTAAGCTTGTAAATAAAAAAAGCTTAAATTTTTTTTTATTTTTTATTTCTAAAAATTTTCCCGGCCAAAATTGAGCATTTTTCACTTATTCCGAATTGACAGATTTTTGGGCGTGGATCGATGCAGATTGATTAGTTAAAATTTTTAGTATACATAGTGTGCCAAAAAAATACATACAGAGAGAGAAAAAAAATAAAAACCGATTTTTTCACCACTTAGCTGATAAATTAAAATCTATTATAAATCAATAAATCTCTAAAACTACTGAACGAAAGTACATGATATCTATATCATTAAAAAGGGAATTGAAAGACCTTCCACATGAGGTATCACTCGGCCCCCCTTTCCATTTAAGAATTTAGGGGTGGCGCCGCCCCCGCCTTTGATGTTATACGCCCTCGAAAACTAAATCAACGTGTCCGAGCGTTTTTCCAAATTTTAATTTTAAACGAGAAAAATTGGGGTGGAAATTTTCCATTGGCCCACCCTGTATAAGGCAAGCAATGCAAAGTACATTATGTATAATTAATTAAATGATATCAAGTGTCATAAATCAGAAATCTTACTTCGTAATAAGCTAAAAATCCAGATTCTTTTGTGTATTTTCCTTCCTTTCCACCGGCATTTGATGGAGAATGCACACTATGTTTAGCCGTGTTAGAGAGTGTGAAAGATCTTCCGTATGTAGGCATCCCTAATGCACAAATACATAACAATTTTTTTATTAATTAGTTAACCCAAATTTCTATTTTTTTTTTGTTTCTTACCTATTACCAATTTTTCTTTCGGTGCTCCCAATTTAACCCACAAATTTGTGGCATGTTCTACATTTAGTTGTTTCTGATATTGACTATCCGAACTAGGGGAATGTAGTGGGGCATTATGTCCAGTTTCTTTTTCCCATTTTCCGTGAAAATCGTAGGCCATCAAGTTAATAAAATCTAGGTAAGATGCTACAGCTGGAACGTCATAGCCTCCTTTGATGTTATCGGGGCCGACTGGAACGGCTGCTGATAGGAGAAGTCGTGGCTTCTTGACTTCTTGAGCTTCTGCTTCGAAGGCTTCTCGAAGTTCTGACAAATAAAATTATTTAATTTGAGTTGCTGCTATTGCAACTTTATAGAATTTTAGGGTTACCAGATTAAAACTTGTCCACCTCGGGCAAGCCTTCCCAAAAATCGGGACAAAATCCGGACGTCATAACTTTTTAGTAATATAAAAGCAAAAATAGAGTATATTGTTATATTAGGAGTAAAAATGATACTTTTTGTAGCGAGGCTGTAAGATATACCGGGTGCGTCTCAAAAGTGGCTCACCCCTATAACTTTTTATTTTTTGAGTTAAAAAACGAGATTTGGTGAAAACAATTAGTATATGACATAAATTCGGATTGATTGACGTATTCTATTGTTTTCGGCCACTTCCTGTTTCACCGGAATTGACTACAACTTTTGAGTTTTAAATGGCACCCTCGGTTATTTTTACTTTATTCGATTGAAAATGACACTCTGAATAGAATGTCATATGTCAACTTTTGACATTTTCCCATATGGTTTGAAACTATAACATGCGGTTTATAACGAAAATTTGGCTCGAAATACCAAGTGCGTGGTATCAAATTATTCGTAAAAAATGCTATTTCCAAATATGCTAATAAGCCACCCTCGTTCCATTTGAAAATTGAGATATAATTAAAAATACGATTTGGGCATCTTTTAACCCGTCAGGACAAGACACTAAAAACATTAGATGATCAAATCTATTTTTCCATTACTTCTTGATTAAAAATTAGTGTTTTTAATATAGCCATGGCACCCTAGATTGATATTTAAGATACGATTTTTTACTAAGCGAGAATGTCAAAAGTTATATATTATGATATGTCATTTTATTCAGAATGTCATTTTCTATCGAATAAAGTAAAAAATACTGAGGGTGCCATTTAAAAATCAAAAGTTGTAGTCATTTCCGGTGAAACAGGAAGTGGCCAAAAACAACTGAATACATCAACCAATCCCAATTTATGTCATATACCAAATCTCGTTTTTTTATCTGAAAAAATAAAAAAGTTATAGGGGTGAGCCCCTTTTGAGACGCACCCGGTACAGACGAGACAAAAAAAATCATTTTTCTCCGAATAGAATATGCTATTTTTTCTTCAAATGCTACAAATATTTTTCAAACAATTTGAAACGTTCCAAATATTAAAAAGAGATTTAAAAGTAATATCTTGTAAGTAATAATCGAGAAGCTATGGTTACGCTCGTTTAATTTCGTACTTTTGTGCTTAGGCGTAAAAGTGCTCTACTCTTATGCTTAGGCGTTAAAATGACTTTTTAAAGTTGTCAATCATGTCGCAAAAATTAATACTTTTGTGACGTTTAAAAAAAATACATTTATAACTTTCAAAACTTAAAACTTATGAAGTAAAACAATGAATTTACACTGCTGAATTTATCGACGATTTTTTAAGTAACTTAGTAATAAGTAAAGTAGTATTGGGACATGTCTTAAAAGGGAATATTAAAATCCGGACGCTTATGAAAAATCCGCCCGGTCCCACCGAAAATAGTGAAAATCCGGATATGTCCGGATTAATCCGGACGTCTGGTAACCCTACATAGATTATGCACTAAGTTTACGGTAACAAATAAACTTGAATAAACCGTTATTAAAACTTAAAAATAATAATCATTATAGAACGGTTATACAGGGTGTTTCAAAACATTTATGGAAAGTTTTCAAAAATCTCAACAATTAGAATGATATTGCAGTAGAAATACAACGAAAATATAAAAACTTTATATTTTCTATAAAGTTTTTATATTTTATCTTGAAAGCGAGAAAAAAACAAGCTTTTTATGGAAGTATTGCTACTATCAAAACATACGATCTGCATATGTTTTTCACTTTTTAAAATGAACGACATTGGTTGAAATAAAACTCCTAAATATTTGTTTTTGAACCTAATTCTAACCAAATTTGAACCTAAATCTAACCAAAATTAAACATAATGACTTTGATTTATAAAATGAATTTGGATAGCCTGGTATATTTGGAAAGGTACATTCTGTATGCTTTTCATAAAACTATACTACTTAGTTTGTAGAGAACTTTAGTAGAACGTAGACTTTGACAAGAGAAAATCCTTTTTGTTCTTGTTTGTGGTTGTTCTTCGCAACCTCTACAGCGCCAGATCGCGTACAACGTTTGTGATCTAAAACAATTATGCATTTTGGCGGGAAGCTCCAATCCAAATGTATTTCCTTTATCTATGCATAAACCAGGGTTGGAAAAAATCACGATTTTTAAAAAAAAATCAAAAAAATCAGATTTTTTTTATTTAAATCAGATTTTTTTGATTTTAATTCAAAACAATATTTAAATCGGATTTCCAAATGACTAGGACTTATTTCCAATGAAAGTCCTATCCTAAATGGCTAAATCTATACTCCGATATCAATAACATTAACAATTCTACAGGGCGTGTGATTTTTCCACATCGGTCACCAATATATTCCGCAAAAAAAAGTCGTTCGCTTCAGATCAAAAGGATTTTTTTTTTCAAACGTCTCAAAAATATTAATTTTTGTCATTTTAACGCCTAGGCATAAAAGTAAAGCACTGTTACGCCTATAAGCACAAAAATACAAAAATATATTATTAAACTGACATGAAGTGTTAAATTCAACGAGTGTACAAATTGTTGCTCGATTACTGTTTATATTATTTGTAATGTTTGAAACTGATTAAAAAATTATTTGTGATGTTTAAAAAAATAATATGTTCTATTCAGAGTAAAAATGTACTTTTTGGGCCTCCCTGTAACGTCGGAATAGCTTTCCGATGGTCCTTCAAAGATACAGCATCGTCAAAAAAAGTGTAATTTTTACTCCTAATAAAACAATACAGTATTGTTCGGAAATAGTCTTAAGTCGAGAATGAAATTCGTATGTATTATCTAATGTCAAATTGTAAAGTACTTACTGCAGATCAAAATGTCGGTAGGAATTTGGAAACATACAACCGATTCAAAAAAAAATAAAACAACATATTTTCTGACAACGATTATAGATTCCCGGGATTGAAGATATAGTCTCTATATTAGAAGGGCTTAGTTCTGCACTAGACTTTGCGAATGATAGTCTATTATGTATTCGAACAGCGAATTTTTGTCACTTAAACATAAATTTTAAAACAAATCTCCCTGCGTTTAGCCGATCTTTAGTTCAAAATTCGGTCCAACAATTAGATAGATGAATAGATATTTTTATATAGTTTTATAACATTTTCAATTATTTTTTGCGATTTACTATCTCTTATATATGTTATAGAAATATTTTTTATAGGTTTCTAGGACAATTTTTATAACTTTTACAGTTATTTTTTGATTTATAATAAAGTTTCAATAATTTTTTTTTTATTTAAATCACATGATTAAAATTAAAAAAATCACTTGATTTAAAACACGATTTAAATCATGATTTAAATCATTTGATTTAAATCATGCCAACCCTGGCATAAACTGACATTTCTGTGTATATGGTTTCTAAACACAATGTCACTTCGTATAAAAAAAACAAATACTTTTTTTAAGGTTTCAAATGTCACTTGCGATATACCCAAATTTTCCGGAATGACCACATCACAAACTATTTGTCAATGCAGTACAAAGTGTTAAATTGCACAGCATATTCTTCATTTCGTTATACCTTGTTATTGCCGTATAACCAAGACGATAATATAAAACAAACACTTATTTATAATCATCTTTACTTTTTCAATAACTTCATGTTACAATGGATAAATATCACACTTCGCTTCATAAATATTTCGTTACGGTTGGCCCATATTAATTTTATGCGGTTAATATATGAACTAAAGTTACGTTTTCTTAAATGGAACACCCTGTATATTTATAAATTATATGATCTGGCTTGCCAATCTCAAAAATATTCTCAAAAATATATATCACTCTCGTATCACTCTATATTTATCTTCACTATTTACTGCAATATTTAAATTATAGGTATCATTTTCTTATTAGTAGATCCTGATAAATAACAAAATAAAAATCGTATTTATTAAAATAGATATACTCATATTAAAATTTTATTTGCAATTGATATATTTTACTTTTGAACTGTTGGGGTTTGAATGGGGTGAGTTTGCAAATATCTAAAAGCTTGCATTATTAAAGCATTTTCCAGGTGTTCGACATCGTATTAGTTGCCACGATATATTTCATATTTCAAAAATCCTCAAAATCAGAAATCGAGAACGGACAAATCCGGAAATCATGGAGGCCATCATATGGGTATCTACATTGGTTCCAATTCATTGATTTGAACAATAATAATTTAACAAAATTCTAATATTTTCGTTGTAAGTTAAGTTCTGATGGGGAGCCCCATCTTGCTGAAAGTAAATTTCACGTAAAATAGCTAAAGGAATAAGGAATATTTAAAAGTTCCGATAAGATAGGTTCCAAGATTTACAAATAGCGGTAGATATTTAAGTTTCCCTAATATACAGACCGGACCACCGTAGTAATAACATAGGCAGAACCGGACGAATTAGCGTATACCCGTCCGCCGGATAAAAAGCAGGCGAAAAAATGCGATAAAATAAAAATAGGTAGATATGTGATAAGAATATTTCAGAATTCGTATTTATTCGTGTTATAATAGCCAAAACGAATACATAGATTCTCGCGACAGTTCTCATGTAAAATTTATTTTTTTAAGTAAAATAATGGATGTTTACGAAGTTCGTAAGAAAATTCAAATTGTAAAATGGTATTTCCAAATTAGGTCTTATCGGGATATACAAACAATTTTTCTACAAACTTTTGTAAACAGGCCAATTCCATCTTTACCTTCTATATCAAGAGTTATTAATAATTTTGAAACAAATGGGTGCGTGTCCCCACAAAAACACAAAAAGCCTGATGTGTTGATTAATGAAGAACAGGTGTTAAAGCAAGTGTTCATTTGTGCTACCGCGGATCAAAATCCCACGTTTTCAAGTAACCAAATTGCTGAGGTGGTTGCCCTGCCCACAATGCCCGTATTGTTCAAGAATATTTGAACAATACTTTTCCCCACCGTTTAATTATTTATTGGATATGGAACTATTTTGCGGCCCGCTAGATCACCAGATCTTTCTCCCAATGATTTCTTTTTGTGGGGTTTTGTAAAATCCAAAGTGTATGGTCATAATAGGCCTAATAATCTGGATGAGCTTCAAGTAAAAATACGATTAGCCCTAATATGTTAGCCAATGTCAGACGGGGATTTTACAACCGCCTAGGCTTCTGTCTAGCACAAGAAGATGGTCTTTTTGAACACTTGTTATAACTTCTTTTTATTTAGAGTAATATTTTAGTTTTTTTGAGGTTTAGAGAATTTATTTTTAGTTTTGGCTTGTAAACGCACTCAAATAATAAATACTTAAGTATTTTAAATGTTACCTTAAGTGAAGGTAAAGACTTAAAATGAAAATAATATATACTAGGCACTCCTCGCGTCGTATTCCTAGTCTGTCACGACCGACCCGTCCAAACAGAACTGCAACTGCGTACTGCCTCACCAGCCGACTAGCCGGCAGTGAATCTCGAGTACGAACGCAAATCGGGTAAACGTAAATTCGTCCGGCAACTTGCTATGTTACTAGTAGTAATTAATTAGTGGCTCCCAAAAAATAAAACGACAGACAGATAGCAGTATACTTTTAATAATTCTTTAGTTTCTTTTGTTATCCATGGCCTACTAATAAATATATGATCTTTTAATATATTTTTTTTTCTAAATATTGCATTAAATAGTGAAAATAAATATAGAGTGTTATATATTTTTGAGAAACTTATGCCAAGCCAGATCATATAATTTATAAATATACAGGGTATACTACTGTTTCCGATGGAGTCAACAAAGACATCAATTCCAAATACGCTCAGGACTTGCATTTAATATTTCTAACATGATGGAAAGTCTAGTCATGAGCACAGAATCTTGGGAAGGCGCATATGGGACTGCCAGAGAAATAATAGAGACCAAAGAAAAAGAACATCTCCTTTAGACAGCCTAATGCACTGAAGAAATGCGAGAGCGGTTACCGGTGCATAGAAGGCAAAACGAAGGGAGGAGGTTTTTTTTTAGTCGGTAAGAATTCGACACTACCAAATATCATACAACATTGTTGGTATTGGTGTCTATGCAAGATTTTTTCCCACCTCATACAAAAAAAATACAGGGTGTTCCATTTAAGAAAACTTAACTTTTTTTATGAATTTCAAGAACTAACAGCGCTTTCAGATGGAGCGGAGCGTCTGCGCGAACCGTCCGTCGTGTTTTTTTTGAAGATAGCCGTCGAACAAAATCATCCAGACAGAGCATACGCGACCCATGTGAAATTGTTCATATAAACTCATGGTACTTGCTCGAAGTCGCGGACTTCGAGTCGCTCCATCTGAAAGCGCTGTTAATAACATGTTTTAATTGTTTTTATAAATAATTATTTATAAAAATAAATTTATTATAAAAATAAATTTATTAATTAAAACATCTCTATAAAATAACTACATTTATATTTCAATTCTCAAGTAAAATGTGTACCATAGAGTTGGTCAATTAATTCATCTTTCAAAGCTGTTTTATGTCAAGATTGTTTTACTCTAAAAATTGTAAAATATTAGTTTGTATTTGTAAATTTAGCATAATATTCTTAAATGAACAAAAATATATTTATGATTATTCATATTAAAATGTTTAGTTACTGACTAACATAAATTATAAAAAAAGTATAATTCTTCCGATTTATTTCTTAGAGATTATATATTATTCAATACGAAATAACGCAGGCATTAATAGCGTTATAAAATCTTTTTTAAATGGCCTTTAGTTTTGATTGCTTAATTCATTCACTGAGATACCTTGAAGGTGCTCCTAGACGATTACGAATAAGTAATGAGAATTCTTTAAGACAGTATCATAATTAACTTCACTATATAATTTTCACAGTTTTTCATTCCTCATCTGCATATATTGTCTATCTTATCAAAATTTATACTATAATTACTTGATTTTAATAATATATTTCCAAGACATATTGCTATATTTAAACCTTGCATCTAAGCTGAGGACAAGTATTGCATCTTAGCTGAGGACATCTTTGTGTCATGATTTTATTTTTATTTAGAAAGCAGATTTATTTTGTTAGATGTTCTCTTTGGAAATTTACTTGCGAGTATCGTGGTATATTTTCTTAACACTAAGTTATAAACTATTGATCTTTTATGATTAAGAAAAGTAAAACACTTTCGGACTTATCAGTAGTCTACCCCTAAAGGGGTAGACTACTGATAAGTTACTACACTACTACCTAAGTTGAAGGTATATTCTGAAATTCAACACACACTCAACGAATAAGTTCAGATAGTCTCTAAGTACTAACATAGTCTCTAAGTGTCTAATGCAAATATTTGTTTCCATAGCAACTGTTAAAATTGCGAAAAAAAAACTGTTAAACCGCAAGGGTAGATTAAACGATACTTTAACAGCGAGGATAGGTTAAAAACTATTTTTTCTCGCACGTTTTTTAATTGCTTCCATTTTTAAAAATTTTTGTATTCCTTTTCATAAGTTATTCGGTTTAAATGGATGTAGTTTGGATATGGCGTTTGTCGTCTCAGTCTGAATACCTGTTGGTAATTTACTTATTTCGTTTTGAGCTAGTTCTGGCTCCAATTCAATCAGCAATCGACACGAAAGAGAATTAATTAAGAAATATTGACTCAAAACTGACAACTAAAGAGACAGCTTTATTTATTTGTCAAATTACATAGAAACCAACGTCAACCCAGCACAATATTTTTTCAACTCGTAATAAATTCCTTGAAATAATAATTTCTGAATATTTTTAAAACGTAACTCGCTATGGAAAAAAATATTGTTTTATACACGACGATAAAATTGCATCCCGAAATTAATTCACTCGCGATTTCATCGCTCGTGAATTAATCTTTTGGTCGACGATAAAATACTATTTTATCGTCTTGTATAAAAAATAACTATTATGGATAGTAAATTTCGACCCCAGGAAAACGACTATGAGGTATTTTTTGCGAAATTTTTTTTTTGAAAATTTGAAATTTGTTGAAAATTTTGTTGGAATTTTTTTTAGTTTTTACTTAAAATAACATAATTTTCTCATAATATGACAACATAGATAGTAGACTGAATTTACAAGAAAGAAACCCCAAAAAAAATCCAGCGGTTCTCAAAATGTAAGCGAAAAATCAATTTCTTTTGAAATCGTCAAAGTAAGGTACCTCGGTTATTTTGGACTTATTTGAAAAACGGCAAAGAGAAAATATGTTTCTATTATTGAGACCTACCAGCCCTAAAAATATTTGTACTTATTTAAGACTCACCCTGTATATTGTTTTAAAAATAAAAATAAATATTCTTTTTAAAAATCATCCTGTCTACTTATTTATTACATATTAGTGTAATGTATGCAAAATTAATTTTATAACAGCAGCGTAGATAAGTGTATTATCATCGTAGCATAAAAAGTTTGAAATTTAATTCTTATTCTTCCATGACATAAATGTCTGAATATTATAGGATGAGATCTTGATTTCATTTTTATTTAGATAGAGACCATGCATTAATAATCTTGTTCTCTCTATTTTATATTCAAATAATATAATAAATTATTATTAGTTATAATAAATAAAATTCCTCATTGCAGAACACATTGGCAGGTAAATTTGAATAGAGTTAGATCTTCTGTTATAATTTCTTTTTGATATTTTATTACATTATTTAGTTTTGGTTATTTATTATAATATTTTATATTGTAGCTTTCGCTAGTTTTCTGTAGAATTTTATATATGGTCACAAATATCAAAGTATCGTAGGTTATGAATTGAATACTAAACCATTCGTGACCCAGTTATGCTAGAACACATTCGATTGCAATTTACAAGGCTAAATAATTACTACTTCCTTTGTGAGATCACATCTTACAGAAACACCACGAGGAAAACAATTTCATTCATTAGAAATTTTTATATTTTCCTTAACTTTATAAAATGCACGTTGCAATCCTCATTGACTTTACCAATAAAAATCTAAAATAATTTCCATTAACCGTTCGTATATTTACCTTTCAAAAGCAAAACAAAGTTCTTTTTATCATCGCTTCCTTTAGGATATTCCCAATCCATATCTAACCCATCAAAACCACGGTCTCTCAAGAATGGTATTGCACTAAAGATGAATGTCTGTCTGCTATACCTCGTAGCTGACATGTCCTTAAATTTCTGTGTACCAAAAGACCAACCACCTGAAAAATGGTTAATAAATTTTTGGTTTCCAGAAAAAAAAAATATTTTAATCATATAATGGGAGTTAGTTTATTATTAGAAATAAGTTAAATTAAGTAATGCAGTTAGTTTCTCATTGTCTAAATTATAAAATTTATATTATCGTTATTGTGTCTTATTACAAATTGTTATTACAGTAGAACCTCGATAATTCGGACACATACCGGAGCAGCTGCAGGCGAATTAATAAAGTAACCGGATTACTGGAGGGATATTTTTATAATGTTATTGTTTAATAAAAAGTGTTATGTGTGGTCAATTTTTTTGTATAGATGTGAGACGTGGACACTTAATTAAGAAACGATAAATAAAATCGAAGCATTTGAAATGTGGACATACAGAAGGAATGCTTAAACTATCTTGGACAACCAGAACCAGAAATGAAGAAGTTCTTCGAAGAATGGAGCACGACAAGTCTGTCGTGCTCCAATAGTCACTTCTGGATATTATCAAGCGACGAAAACTTGAATACCTTAGCCATATAACCAGAGGACCTCAATATGAGTTTCTCCGACTGATCCTTAACGAAAATATCAAAGGAAAGAATTCTTTTCTTCGATTTTTTTTTCCTTTCGAATTAAGTGGATTGGGCGCAAGAGGCTTTCATGGTTGAGGAACTTGCGGCAATGGATAGGCTTGAGCGCAGATGGATTAGGGGAAATATGCCCGTGATGGACCCCCGCCTATGATGAACCACTAGCTATATTTTCAAATTTACCGCGGATAACGAACTGTGGCCACCTAGGGTAGACTGGTTAAAGTTTAAAATTAGTTGTTTACATGTGCTTACGCAAATACAAGCTGTTTTTGTGAAATTAAAAAATAAACTTATTACTGGTAAGTATTGATGTAACAAAGTAGCATGATATGATGTCAAGTAACTTTTTTTTACGCACAGCTAGAATCTGCTGTTGTTGCGGTAGGTTAAAAGAACTGTTGTGTAATAAGTGCCGGGCACAAATTAGGGTTATGTCCAATATTTTAAAAGCTTGGGATTTTTAAATGGCGTATTCAAAATGGCCTATGATGGACCCCTTAGCTGTTTCCTATGATGAACCAGGGGTCCATCATAGGAAAATCATAGGGCCATCATAGGCAATGCATTTTTTATATTTTTAAGTTATTTCTTTTGCTTTATAGACATGGCATCTAACAAACGGCAACAGTGGAATGAAGAGGATATGCGACGGGCTATTATTAACGTACAAAGCCAAAATATGGGCTATAAATTAGCTGCAAAGACCTTTAATGTTCCCAAGACAACATTGCGAAGACGCTTAGAGAAACAAGACAGCTCCAAGGGTTATTTAGGAGGGCGAAAAGCCACTTTCTCCAAAGCCATAGAAGACGAGATTGCAGGTCATATAATCGAAATGGAGACAAGATTTTTTGGAGTAACTTCCAAAGATTTACGGCGGATGGTATTTGAAGTAGCCGAAAAAAATAAAATAAAACATTGTTTCAATCGGGAAGTTAAACTGGCAGGTTGGAAGTGGGTTAGGGGATTCCTAAAACGCAATCCACAAATATCTTTGAGAAGCCCAGAAAGTACGTCATTAGCTAGAGCCCAGGCATTTACAAACCTAATATAGAAGCCTATTTTAACGCACTATCCAATATTCTGGAGCAGTACAACTTTTTGCCCGAAAATATATACAATATGGATGAATCAGGTTTGACTACGGTGCAAAAAAAAATGCCAAAAAATTTACGCTGCAAAAGGTCCGAAGCAAGTGGGTGCTCTTAGTAGTGCCGAGCGTGGACAGCATGTAACTGTAGTATGCGCAATGAATGCCATAGGCACTTACGTCCCTCCTGCTCTTATTTATCCTCGTCAAAGGATGAATGAGGAACTAATGAACGGTGCTCCCGCTGGTAGCATAGCTTTTACGCAAGAAAAAGGTTGGATGACCAGTGAAATTTTTTGTAAATGGCTAAAGCATTTCGTAAGATATACGAAAGCGTCTAATGAGAATAAAACTCTTTTACTTCTTGATGGTCACAGTAGTCATAAAAGTCTTGAATCTCTACAAATTGCAAAAGAAAATGGTGTTATTGTGTTTTGTTTTCCTGCACACTGTTCTCATCACGTTCAACCTTTGGATGTTGGATTTTTTCGTCCACTTCATACCTACTTTGATCAAGAAATCCAGTTATGGCTGCGTCAAAACCCGGGAAAAGCAGTAACCCAATTCAAAATAGCAGGTCTTCTAAACCAAGCCCATTTAAAAAGTGCAGTCCCATCAAATGCGATAAATTCGTTCAAGAAGACGGGCATCCATCCTTTTAACCCCCATGTTTTTGAGGACTGGCAGCTTGCACCAGCTCTAGCAACAGATAAGCAGATGTCCGAAACTCGAGGCGATATCAACGAAAACCAAATGGAATTAGACATTCAAGACCAACCAAGTACATCTTGTCATAACTTGTCTTCATCATCAGTTCTCGACATCTCGGTAAAAGAAATTTTGCCCCCACCACAAGCAATAGCCATTGGTGCTGATAAAGGAAGCAAGAGAAGGCGTGGAAAAACTGGCCATTTAAATTCAACCCCAGAAATTTCTGAACTTAAAGATAAAGTAATTGAGAAGGAAATAAAGTTAAGAAAACAACAGGGCAGGCCAGTAAAACGAAAACTTGTCATTGCAAATAATGACGACAGCTCTGATGAAGATGAAACCATCTTAGAAGAATTTTTAGGACGCGAAAAGGATGAATCCGATGCTAGTTGTCTATATTGCAATGAGTTATTCTCTCAATCACGTGCAAGAGGGAAGTGGATTAAATGCCAGCTTTGTCAGTCCTGGTGCTACAATTTATGTGCTAGTGTAAGCTACCGATGTAAAACGTTTATTTGCGAATTATGCTCCTAATCTTAATTATTTGTCTTGCGTTTGTTAAACTAATGTTAATTTTGTTTTTTTCTTAACTTTTAAACTATTTTTTTTGTCTGCTTTAGGTTAGTTTATTCCATTTTTAATATAGAAAAATATTTTGTTTAAAATAAAACTTTTGATAGGCGTTATCTGTTGTTTTTATAGGGGACCGACATAGGTACATAGGTGCTAATGATAGACCCTCGACTATGTTTTATTATTATGATTATTTTATTTAATACGAAATTATTTAGTAGCAAATTCACCTCATATATATTAAATTTGGAAATAAATAATCGATTTTCAAACAAATAAATCTAATAACTACAAAAACTAAAAATTTATAATGGAATTTCCTTAAGGGGTCCATCAAGGGCACATTTCCCCTAGTCCATGTAGCGCAAAATCGAGAACGATACCGACATGAGAGCATGACACTTGAAGAAGAAGATTGTTTCATACTTTTATGGTTTCCAAAATAAACTCAAAATTAAACACATTTTTATTTAAACCAAAATGCAAAACACTTTATGAACTATATTAAAACTTCTGCTTGTTCTTATAAATTGTTGGTTATTGTATCTAGACGTATGCACCCATAAAGAGAACTCAGTTACTACTTACTACAATATCTATATTAACCAACTACGTATCTTAATACACATTAAAGACTTGCATAAAAATGTGAACAAAAGTGAAATTAATATTTAATTCGAATGGAATCGAAAATTTTTATTTCAATTGAATGATTTTTAATGAATGGAATCCTCAATAGCCTTCTATTTTACACGTTTCAAAGGAAAAATATATTACGTAGAAACATTGTTTTCTTCTACCCAGTAAATAGTTTTTGGTAAAGATTTTAGGGCACATTGCTAAGCTTCATACAATATTGTTATCCTCTGTTCACTTAAGTTGTCATTTGTTTCCTTTGTTTCCAATGCCTAGTATTTCCTTTTGGAGAAAAAAAAAGATAAGAGGATAACAATATTCTCCAAAAGACTGTAGTGACTATAGACTTATAAGTCTAATGAGTTGTGCTCTGAAACATTTTCTTTGCGTCATGCATCCTCGTATATATTCGGAAGAAAAGAGCGGAGAGACACAGTTCGGCTTCATGAAGGGGCTGGGTACGAGAGAGGCTTTGTTTTCAATCAAGCTACTGATCCAGAAGTGTTATGATCAACGCCAAGATGTCTTTGTGTGCTTCATAGATTATCAGAAGGCTTTTAACAACGTTAAACACGATATTCTCCTAAACAGACTGCTCGAGATAGGAATAGACGTCAAAGACATTAGAATGATACAGGAACTATATTGCAACCAAACTGCGGAGATCAGAGTTAACAAAAACTTATCCACAGACACATTCAATGTGTGAAAGGAGTCCGCCAGGGCTGTATACTGTCACCAATACTTTTTAATATATACGTAAAAAAGATATTTCAAATGGTACTGGCAGTAGAAAGTGGAGGAATTAAGATCAACAGAGTTCCAATTAATAATATAAGATATGCAGATGATTCGGCAATCCTAGCACCAACTTTAGATGATCTCCAGCAAATAATAAATAAGATAGAGGACATGGGAAATCGTTTCGGTCTTAAAATCAACCCTACCAAGACCAAACTTATGGCAATAGGACGCCAGCTAATAATCAACACCGCATTGACAGTGGATGGAAATATTATAGAGCGAGTACCACGATTTAAATATCTAGGTGCTATGATCAATAAACGATGGGACTGCGATGAAGAAGTTAAACTTAGAACGAATTATGCACAAACAACATTTTTCACACTTAAAAACTTCTTATTAGCACGCAGTCTACCGGTAGCACTTAGACTACGGGTAGTAAAATGCTACATATGGCCCATCTTACTATACGGTGCAGAAACGTGGTCTCTCAAGAGTAAAACCCTGAACTGCATCGAGGCTTTCGAAATGTGGACTTCGGAGACTCTTACGTGTGCCATGTAACGCACATGCCACCAACGAAGAGTTTTTAAGAATTGCAGGGTATGAACGAGAAATACTTAATAATTTAAAGAAAGAAAAGTTTCTTACCTCGGCCATATCCTTAGAGGAGACAAATATTACATCCCTAAACTAATTCTACAAGGAAAAATAGAAGGACGGTGAGGCTCAGGAAGAAAACAACATTCCTGGCTAAGAAACATACGGGATTGGTGTAACATCAGCGACGCAGCCACCATATTTCGAAGAGCCGAAAACGGCACTTTACATTACACTGAGAGCCGAAAACGGCACTCTCTACTACACATTATATAAAGAGTACAGACAATCGCCAACATGCGGCTCAGGAAGGCACAGGAGGCACAGGCTCAACACAAGGCACAGGAAGAAGAAGAAGAAGAAGTATTTTCTCTTCAATTTGTCTCTGCGACATACTATATATTTTAAATTCAGTTAAACCAATATATTGAATATATACACAACCAAACTTATATGGAATCACTCTTTATTTCTGACTAAATTTCTTGCAAGGATAAAAATTGGTATACAACTTTAAGATAAGGCTTTTTGTTGTAAATAAACATGATAATAAAGAGTAAACGACTACTGCGATTTATTTTCTTTTGAATTTTGTGTTCAGTAGTAAAAATCACAATTGTCCGGTAATTTTCATTCAATCCAAAAAATTTAAAAAATGCCTTATGTTGGATTAATAAATGTACAGAGGGTAAGAATTATTGCTCTCATCAAACAAGAAATGCTCCAGAGAGACGTAGCAGAGATAGTAGGCGTTACCCAGGGTGTTGTATCGAAAACATATGCAAGATACTTGGAATTAGGAACACACAAGGATAGGCCCATACAAATTCGCCATAGAGTCACAACTGAACAACAAGACCGCCTTGTGTGCTAAATTGCTAGAATAAATCCCAATGTTTCTCATCCAGAGCTACAAAGAGAACTTCTGGCAGCTACAAGTGTGAACATTTCAGTTGAAACCATAAGAAACAGTCTTCGTGCACGAGGGTTTTACAGTAGAAAGAGTTACGGATCCTACGGTTATCTCGGTAAAATAAAATTGACCGGCTAAATTGATGCCTTCAACATCAAAACTGGACAACTGGGAATTGGCAAAATGTTCTTTTTTCGGATGAGAGCAGAATTGGCCTAAGATCAGATAACCATCGAATTCGGGTTCTTAGAGCTCCAGGAAGGCGAGCGAGACTTCAGGCTACCAAATCTGTACCAAGATATAAAGGAGGAACTGTAATTTTCTGGGGAGGTATTATAATAGGAGCAAAAACTCCATTGTTACCACTTCAACAAATTTTAACGGGTCGGAGATATGTTGATTTGGTGCTAGAACCAATCGTTAGTCTGTGGAGAGCTGCAATTGGGGATAATTTTAATTTCATGCGCGATAGTGCACCTCTCCATATCAGCAGAGTGACTAGAGAACGTATTGAAATGGAAGGCGTCATAGTTTTAGACTGGCCTGCCTATTTACCAGATCTAAACCCTATCGAACACTTATGGGACTAGATCAAAAAAAGGGTTAGGGCTCGTCGAAACAATCCAGGAAATCTCGCACAGCTTATTGATGCGGCATTAGCATAATGGGAAAACATACCCCAAGACAACGTGGATAATTTAACAAGAAGCATGCCAGCGCGGATAGAAGCTTGCATAAGGGCTAGAGGTGGCAACAAAGAATATTAAACTTACCAATTTTCTTTTTGTTTAAGCTTTTTGGCCATTAAAAATTTAAATCTTAATTTCGTTTCAGAAACCAAAAAAATACCATTTTGTTTATTTTGGGAACTGATTATTTTTTTTATTGCTATATGGATTATTCTTCATTAAAGGTCATTGGTAAGGACTGAGTTTTATTCATAAACAGAAAATTTTCATACATCTCAAAAATTATGGGAAATAATAGGTGATTCCATATAAGTTTGGTTGTGTTATATTATATTCAATTAAACCAGAGACAAATTATTTTTCTCCTTAAGTTCATTTACAATTTTTTTTGTATATGACTTTTTTTATTTGTTGGTATTTCCGATTTATTTATATCTAAAATATTAAATTTCGGAACAGCAAAAATGGAATGTTACGTATGGAACAGAAATGTTAAGTATCGCTCCTTTGCCATTGCAATCCAATATCTTGCATTTCTACAGCAAGAGTCGTTTAGTTGCCTCTATTTTTTAGCAATAGTTGATACTCCTGACTGCTCTACTACAAAGAAAAGAGTACATACTGCATCTAACCGTCCAAAAAAATGCGGACTTTCATTCATTTGCCTCTGAATTTTGTTGGCATTCGGATAAAAACATAAAAATATCAAAACTGTCCGATTAAGAGACGCCGAAAGCCGAAATACAGGAGTGTCCGAATTAAAGAAGTTCTACTGTATTTATTAAAACTTGTATGTATATATAGTAATATGTATTAAAACTTGAAAAATATTGATTGAATCTGTTATTTAGTTTCACATTTTTTTTATCCAGCAGTCAAATTTTGCTACTATTTGCTACTAAAATACTTTCAATATTTTGTCAATATTACACATATTTTAAATAGTCCCTGTGTATTAGTGTGTATTAAACTTTTACATACGGATTCAAAAAAAAATTGTTTCATTTAATGTAAAAGTAAAGATAAAGTAAAGATTTCAGTTAACGTCTCCTTGCCAGGGCTAATCTGGACGGGGCCTACTTTGTTTACGCGGAATCTGAACCGCGGTCCTCGGCCATATCATGGTCAATGGCCTACCGACTTAGGAAGTGTCTAAATCAACTCTTACTCACGCGATATCCGATCTCATGCGGCCAGTAGAACGATCGTATGTTTGATGCTGGACATAACACTTAAAATCGTATTTAAACTTTTAATACAAATTTCTTCAAATACATATTTAGAAGGCCATAATTTAATCAACTAAAATCAAATTTTATTGAAAAATTCACCCAAAGCTATATATTATGGTATAAAATATATGCGTTTCTTGTTAAAGATATTTAATATGTGGGAGGTTTATAGAGCAAATTATGGATTAAATAAATGACTTTATTCATGTGCCCCATACAAAAGTTTTAGCCCATATTTTAACGAATAATTTAAAAAAAAATTTGAAACCACTTGGGTGTTTATTTAACTCTATTCTCCGTGAAAATATACATTTTTCAGCGAAATTTATTATAGTTTGCATCCTTCTTTCGTAATTATCAAAAAGTCCCACCGAGTCCCGATTATTTGTTGGTGGGTATGACTTCTCTATTTTATGCTAAACTTATTAATACAAAGTTTTATTGCAGCCGCTTGCAGCAAAGATGGCTATGGAAAATTTTGTTTAAAATTTAATTTTTTGTGATACACTATACAATAATTAAGGAATTATTGTTATTGAATACATGTTGGTATTAAAGAACTGGACAAATCGCAAGGTCATAATCCATATAGAATAAAAATATGATAAAAAGTTCATTAAGTTTTGGAATAAGTATGAAATTATGTAGTTTAATTGGTAATAGTCAATTTAATACGGAAATTCAAATAAAATATATATTCTGGAAAAACACCCCTGCACTTTCAGTAAGTTATCTATAATAAAGTTATGACTATTTTTAACAAATTTGAAGATTTTAGAACACATTTATTCAAAAAAATGTCTTAAGTTAGAAATTTTGCACTGTGCGGCGTGAATGAGCAGTGTGTATCAATAGATTTTACACTTTTCCCTTGGACAACAGCACGATACAGAGTTTCGAACCGGTCACCCGTCCATCCACCAGTATCGCCTTACGTCGCTTAACTTCGTTGTTCTAATGGGAACCGGTGTTAGTTAGTAAAACAGTTATAGTCAAAAAAAATTGCAAAAATAGTAGTAAATGTAGCAGATTAAGTAATATTATGTATATGTGCATCAAAAAGTTTATAATATACAGGGACTGGTAAAAATATGCGAAATATTGACAAAAGAAAGAATATAGGTAACGGTGAAGACATTGATTTAGCGAAATAAACATAGGTATCCGAATTACAATGTATAAACTTATTCTCCTCTAAATATTCTGTTGTAAAGAATCATAGACACCTACCGATAGCCAAAAGAGTTTTTAAATTGGGATTCGCTTTCTTTAGCTTCTGAATCCTTTCGTACAAACCAACTTTGCCATCTTTTGTTTCATCATTGCTCTCAAAAGACGAAAGCTTTCCTTTCTTCAACCAACCGAAAGCAAAGATAATATGAGTGCAAAGGTCCGGTAAAATATCTTCTGGTGAGAATTTTCCAATTTTAATTCTGCGAAATAAAAATAATAATCAATTAGTGACAATCAAACATACAAATAAATTACACCAAATTTGTTTTTAGTAAACAGTTAAAAGAAAGTAAGAATGTACCGAGTGTCCCATTTTGGTGTGTTTTGCAGGGTTCCTGTTAAGGAGTAGAGATACAAAGATGCGGTTTTCACTTCACAGTATTACTTTTTGTATGAAACTAAACATGCTACACACAGATTTTTCCTAGCCCTTTTAGTTCCTGAAATACAGGGCGAATTTGAAAATGTTGACCCCCTTCATATCTCGGTTATCTTTTATAACTTATCGAAAAGGTGAAAACTGAGTCCTATAGACGTTTTCACGTAGAATCCAGTGGCGTAACTAGATTTTCGCTGGGAGCCATCATTCTTGAAATATAATCCAAACTTATGTTTGTTTTTTAAATGGGATGCCCTGTATATTATTTTTTTATTTTATCTCTAATGTTATGAATGCTTCCTAAAAATATAATATGCATTGTATTGTCTAAGAGTGGGTCCCATGGGACCCTCCACTGCGGCCGCGAGGGCCTATTGTGGCTCCTATATACATACTTATTCTCATAAACAAGGTAAAAATGTATTACTACTTATTATTTAACATTTTAACATAGGAATAACCGCTAGGTGAATACGCGAAAACAAACAAATAATTTATTCCACGTCAAATTTTGATTACTAGCTATTACACGCTAGTTTCTGTGTGCAAATTATTCGACAAGTGCATCAAAATATCAATATCTCTGATTGACACTATGTTACCTAAAAGCAGCACAAGTTTATTTTCAGTGCAGTTTATTAAGATAACAGGATAGAAAACTGAAAGCTAGAATTACCTCGTTAAATTAAATTAAATAATATTTTTTTTTAAATTAGAAATTTCACTTTTTAATGCATTTTTTACCTTATCTATGTAAATAAATATAGAGTTTATCATATTCTTAAAAAGCTCATAACAACGCAAAAAAAACATAAAGTAGTTTAATATACAGGATATCCCATTTAAAACAACAAAAGTTTGAGTCAAATTTAGAAAATTACAGCTCCCAGCAAAAAACAGTAACGCCACTAGATTATACGTGAAAAACTCTATTGGACTCAGTTTTTACCTTTTCGATAAGTTATAAGACAACCAAGATACAAAGGGGGTAAAATAATGCAATATTATAAAATTCGCCCTATATTTGAAGAACTAAGAAGTCTAGGACAAATCTCTCTGTAGCATCTTTAAATTCATAAAAAAGTAGCGTTGTGGTGTAAAAACTGCATTTTTGTAGTTCTACTCGTAAAAAGAAACGATAATCACAGAAAAATGGGCCACCCTTTATCTAGGCAGTAATATATAGGCCAGATTTTACTGCAAATACACTCTAGCTAAAATTTGTTAGACATAACACTGCTTTGGGAATACATGGAAAATGTTCTGCCCTAGAGATCTAAACATTAGAACTGAGTAGTGTAAGTGCGTGGTCCCACAACATGAGGCGTACTTACAACCTAGCGAAGCGTTTAAATGCATGGAAGTAAATGGAAGTGGCACCACATAGAGGCGAGGCGTATTGCGTTTTGACGCGTATTTTACTATTGTCCGCTCCGCTCTACGCGTGCAGCTATGTTGGGCCACGGCCTAAATGTGGATTATAAAGGAACAATAAAAATGAACTTGTCCAAGTTCAAGTCCAAGTTCCTAGAGCGAACGAATGCTGAGCTTATTGAAAAGATTGTCAAAAGATTGCAAAACTATAAAGACTAAAATACCCGCTTTCCTAAAATGTGTTATCGCTTTAAGTAAATGTAATGTTGTTGTTCTGCTCTGATAAGTGACTCCCCACAATCCCAAGTTAATTTGACTAACAAATGTAAATAGATAGACAAATAAATAATAAGAAATTAGTCAGATGATATCATAAATTTTCAGTGATCAAACAAAAAGGAGGAGAAAAACAAACGAAAAGACTTTTTCAGAGCGCGTTTGAGTAGATCCCTCCTCTCGGGATCAGAACCAATTCTTAAGGCACAACCAGGAAAAAAGTTATTATACTATAAGGGTTTGACATCTTCAAAAAAGAAGACTGAGCTCCTGACAGACAAGAATATAACAAAAAAGCAAATATCTAGATGTGTACCAGACCAATCTTACATAACACGACTAAGGTCGCAGAATTGGTCTTCTTCGGTCTGTCTAACGAGGGGATCCATGACAGTGACACACACGTAGATGTGCTTGTAATTTTAATTCGCAGGGAAATTGTAATTTCTGTCATTTTTTGTATGTCCACTTTTTTTTGTATGTCCTTTCACGTCGAAATTTTTCCTGAGTCGTTGGACCGACTATACTCCTAACAAACTAAGGATATGCTGCTCTGGGCAACTTCAGAATAGCAATAATCGAGAAAGAAGCCCATTTCATTATAAAGTTAATGATAATCAGACGAGGTAAATACAAGCTAGAGACAATCATCGACAAGATCTTCCAGATTGATCCTTCCAAATGGCCAATGAATCTAATCCTACAAATAACTGTGTTAGGAACCAGGTAACTCTTGCGTACAACGGTAAATGTAATATTTATTGTAACCCATCTACTGAGAACGAATTCCTGCGAAACCGGAAGTAATTTTGATGGGCTATTCGTATATTTTGAACACAAATACTAAATTTATTTTTAAAAAATAATAAAATACCGGACTGTACAATGTTGTTATCTATAGCAGTTGTTTATATGAACTGCTAGTATAACATAAATAAGTCCTAGACTTAAGCTGTACGCACACTGGTGCGATCGCGGCCGCGGCCAAAAGTTGCTGAAGAGTGAAGAGTACATAATATGAGCCGTTTCACATTGGCGCGATCGACTTTTGGAGACGAAGCGACCTGGCAGCGTTCTATTCTGCGGTGGCGATCAGATTCAACTTGTCGAGTTTAATCGCGTGATCGCGACCCAACTGATAGGAATTTTCCTTTATTTTGTGTATATAGTGTTTTGTCTTTTTTGTTGCAATTTAGAAATGGAGTTAACAGAGCAGCTAATTAAGGCTGTAAAAATACACAAAATTCTATATGATTTATACGATCCAAGTTACAAAAATAATAGAATTAAAAATAAAAATTTTGAAACAAAATTGGAGTTGCAATTGGATTGGATAGTACATATGAATACATTTTTATTATTTAAGTTTAAATATTGTAGGTAAATATTTAAGAATGTTTTTTTCGGTATACATAATTCACATTTTTAATGAACCAATTCTTAAGGCACAACCAGGAAAAAAGTTATTATACTATAAGGGTTTGACATCTTCAAAAAAGAAGACTGAGCTCCTGGCAAACAAGAATACAACAAAAAAGCAAATATCTAGATGTATACCAGACCAATCTTACATAACACGACTAACGTCGCAGAATTGGTCTTCTTCGGTCTGTCTAACAAGGGGATCCATGACAGTGACACACACATAGATGTGCTTGTAATTTTAATTCGCAGGGAAATTGTAATTTCTGTCATTTTTTGTATGTCCCCTTTTGGATCCAAAAAAAATGAATACGACTCTTTACGCATTTGTTTCGAATATTTGAGCAGTGTATATTTATGTGTCAAGTATTTCGACATGTTAAGGTTACTGTCACATTGAAAAAAACAACTTTGCTTTTTACAAAGTGGCAAATAAATTTTTCAGAATGTCAGCATGACATGAGTAGAGAAATGGGGGACTGGTATCATAGAATATACTGCCCGACATAATAAAAATATGTTTTAAATCGTATTCAATGTTATTGGAACCAGTTGTACCTATGTATACCTACAGGATGGCGCACTACATATAGGTACGGCAGTGAACGTGAACGCGTTGGTGTGTGCCAGAATGATCGCTCATGTTACGCTGCCCTGATCTTGATCGCGGGCGTGATCGCACCAGTGTGTTTTCTTATATCAGAATTACATAACAATATGTATAACCTACCTATATTGTGACCAATTGGTGTAGTAACACACCACCTTATATCCATCCTTATCTTTAGTTTTACTAGAAGCGCTTACAGCGTTGTCAGATGTTCTTTTATGCCCTGGCCTAGTCCTGCGCAATTTTGTTACACTCGGTGATACATCCTGGTCTTTAGAACTGGATGTCCTTTGAGACAAAGGTTTTACAGGTCGCCTAAGTCGTCTTCTGGTAGCTGAAACAATAATTCATCGAATTAGCTTGTTCTCTGATTTCAACCATTCTAAAATACTCACCTTTTTCCCGTTCAGAATTGGCTATATGAACTAAAATAAGGAATACTAGGCATATAAATAGGAATGTTCTGAGTTTACATCTGGGTCGTGGAATCTGAAATTAAAGATAATTATATCAATATCTAATTGCATCAAAATTTAATCTTGTTCAAAGTAAAATACAAAACATATTTTAAATAATACTAAAATACTATTTCCATATATAACGGTACAAGCTGTAGAATATACCAGTAGATTAATAATGTACAAAGTGTTCAATTTTCGTGTGTTTTACAGGGTTTCTCGTTTATGTTGGCATTAATGGCAGCATATACAATTATACAATACCATCTCGCCTTATAGTTAATATTTAGATATAATAGATGTTAAGGAAACTTTTGTATAAAATTTTATATAAAATTATTTTCTTTTTATGTAGTTTCTTAGATTAAGATTAATTGCTTTAATCTCTTTAAATTTAAAATTGCCGCACTTATATCTGCTTCCTGCAATATTAGTGTACGCATGCCCGAACACTAGGAAGTGTAGCACACAGTCTATTACAAACCGTCGTACGACGAAATTGGTCAGAGCTAACCGGTACGCGCCGAAAGTCTGAACTTAAAAGTTAAATCCCTTCAAAGACGATTCATGTTAGTGTATGTGTGAAAATTAGCGCTGAAAAGATCAAGATCGAGAAAAAGGCCCTCTGAAGCTGTCTGAGACGATCATTAAAGGTAGGAGCAGGTTTCTCATTTCTCTGTGCGGTTTCTACCAGCTATTAACGTAATTTACATTGATAAAATAAGACCAGTCAAACAAAAATTTAAAATTAATACAGTCCACAACTGCATTTCTGCACAATAGATCTATATAATAGATAAATAATTAGAATCCACTATAATGAGAAGATGGAAATGTTCAACATTTAGAATTACGCTGCATGCATAGGAATATTACTGGATACTGCTCAGAACCACTCTTAAAATATAAAATACAGTGAAGCTGTACTAATGGTTGTAGAGCCACCAAGTAGTCTTACCATGCAGTAATTATAATGGCTTATGGTGCACTCTATGTGTTGAGCTATAAATATACAGACATGTGCTAAAAATTGTTACTGGCATTTGTTAAAGCGCTGAGACTGTATGATGAGTTATAACTCGTTATAACTCAAGAAAGGCAAACACACAATAGATCTGTATAAGGTCGCGGTGATTAACTCCCCTCCTAAATATTCTACATTCTAGGCAAATTAAAGGCATACCTTATGGATATTAACTTTAACGAACAATTTTATATTGAAATTTGATTATAAATTCTCATTTTCATAATAATGGACTTTGACCCCCTATTTAACGTCAAAAATTATCTTTAAAAATTATTATTAGAACCTCCAGGTACATCATAATATAGTACTTAATGTTAATTCACGAATTCATTCTTATGTTATAATATGATTTGGAAAAATGATATAATAAACACCACTAATTCATACATCTTATTGGCTAACTCTTTTTATTCGCTCGATTTTCTTTCTGGTCGTATTAATATATGCAAAAACATTGATATAGTTGTTGGCCTTCAGACATTCGCTGGGTGGGCCATTGTACATATTTATTGATTTCTTTCTTCAGACTAGACGATTTTTGCAACGAGGAATTGACAAAGGAATATTGATATTTGCACACACACAATTACAGTAATTGAATCGCAATTAGTATACGATTCAAATTCAAGTTTACAACGATTCTTTTAGCTTTGCACAAATATACTTAATGGCAATTTTCTTTCAAATAAAGAGTCTTTGCAATATCAATGTAAGAAAAAAATCTTTTTTTTTTTTAATTTATCGTATTTTTGGTCATTATTGATCATTATTGGGATTATTTATCTATTTTTGATTTGATCGAGGATATTAGTTTATCATTATTTCATTGTTAAATCAGTGCGTTGCCATTATTGACTCTGTTTTAATTGATCTGTTCCACTACCACTCTATTACGATATACACTATTCAAAAAATTCAATAGAACAACATAAAATTATGTCATCATCATCATCATATTCAGCTTATTCAACCATTTCTAATTATGGTGTAGCCTCCCTTATATACTCTCTTTGTATTTGGGCCCACTGTTGCCTTTTGTTGGCTAAGCGGGCCCAAGTTATCCCTGCTAATTTTCTAGTACCATGGTCCCATCTCAGGTTCAGTCTTCTTCTAGGTCTCTTAATTCCTTGTGGGTACCATACTGTAATTTTTGTGGTCCATCTGTTATTCGTTCTTATTGCCAGGTGTTGTGCCTATTGACATTTGAGGGATTTGACTCTGAAGATGACTCTATTACCTGGGTTTTTGTCATATCCACTGTATTCTTTTACGATCTCTCTTGGTTATTTCCAGCATATTTCGTTCCATTGAACGTTGTACGACCTGCAGTTTCTTTATGATGTCTGTTTTAAGCGTCCAGGTTTTGCATGCATAGGTCATGACTAGCAGTACACATTGGTCGAATGGTTTCTTTTTTAGATAGAATGGCATTCTAGATTTGAATAGGATTGAGTTTCTTCTATAAGTACTCGATGTTAACTTAATTCTTGTGTTGATTTCTGCTAGTAGCTACCAAGCTTTAAGCTACCTATGTTGATCCCGAGCTGTGTATTAGTTATACCAAATATATATATTCTTCTACTGTTTCCAGTGTTGTGTTATTTATTAGAATGTCTTTTCTTTCCAATAATTTGTTGTACATTACTTTAGTTTTTGCTAAATTCATTTTGAGACCCACTTTATTGCTGGCTGTATTTAGTTCATTAATTTGTGCTTGTATTTCTTCAGAATTATTGGCAACTAAGACTACGTCACAGTTTAGTACAGTGTCCATAACAACAGTCTCCTGTTGTGTGTTTGTTTCCTTTTCAGGCAGCCTGCTGTCTAGCAGCTATGTGTTTATATTTACTGGATCTTTCTTTTAGTCTGTTGGTATTTACTCTAGTTGTTATTGGTTTCCTTATAAATGTTAGTCTTTCTAGTCGAATGTCAAGGACTATTCTGGTTTTGACGAGTCTGTAGTCACTTCCTCTTCCAAACTTGGTAAGAAAGTTCACATTTTTCACTGTATTTATCTTATTAGTTAAAATGAAGTCAATTTCATTCCTAATTACCCTATTAGGAGCTTGCCTTGTTTCCCAGTTGTTGTTCTTGTTCTTTTCGTTTTCCCATCTTTGCATTGAACTCCTCTATTAGATATTTGAAATTACTATTATCGTTGCTGTCCAATGCTTGATTGATTACATTATAGAATTCTTCTATTTCATCGTCCGAGCGACTAGATGTTGGATCGTATGTTTGTACCACTTGCAGGCAATATTTCTCTGACAGTTGGTGTGTTAGACTTGCCACTCTCTCTGAGATACAATATATATAAAAAAATTATATATTTTTACTCAAAACGAATAAAATAAAAAATAGGTTGTTGAATTTAAAAAGACAAATCCATTGTGTTTATCCTCCACACTTTTTTCAAGATGGGTATCTTAACCTTCCCTATAATTTTCACATTTAACATTTTTTGTCAACCTCGAAACAAATGAAATAATGGTGTTTACTCCATATCGTTGACTCACTCTGTACAGAGAGATCATACAAGTTGCAAAAAGGAAACAGTCAAACAGGTCAGATACAGGGTTAAAAAACTCGTTAATTGACCATCTTAAGCAGTGATTATCTTCAGTGGCACAAATATTTTTAATCAACATTTTTCTCAACGACCTTTCGATAAACGTGTTTTTATTTAATTCTTATGGATATACCAACAAAGTGAATCGCTTAAGGCGCGAGTCTCACTGTACCGTCACCGTCACGTTGAACCATCACGACAGAAAGCATGAAGTAATTGGGAGGTGGACGTTGCCTCGACGCGACGGCGACGTTACGGGTAATGTGAATATATTAATTGTTGGCAATTTAAGAATACTTACCGTGGTGGCAAGCCTGCGGCTCGACGTGACGGTGGCGTTACGTTATAGTGAGAATCGCGCCTAAACCTTGGAATGTAAGGAAATTGTTGCTTTCATTTGTTATGCTACCCAATTTTTCGATTTTTTCTATTTCTTCTAAGTCGTAATCTGACAATATCTCGTAGACGATAATTGCTACCACGAGCATCTCACATATCTACATATCGATTAGAGTTCAGTTTGGTTTTTTCAGGAGAGATCAAAGAACCGGGCCGGGCCTCGAAATTATTTTAATTCCCGTTTTTTTTTCAGTACTTTCGGGACACGGTAATAATAATGATTAAAAAATATTTGTTTTTACACGTGAAAGTTTTTTGGTACTTTCTAGCGGTCGAAATCAAACTCTTCTAATTAAGTAGTGCTGCTATCTCTTATTGTTCTTACTTCTGAGGTTTTTTTGAAGTTTCTCTAATGTTTATTAGCAATTATTGAAGTTTAAATATGTTGTTTTATTATTTCGTATAATGTTGATTAATTTATTAGTTATATTTTATGTTTTTATAAGCATTTGCATTTTTAATTGAAAATGTAAGATTTTTTTTCAAATTTAGTTAAGTTAGTTTATGTTGTTTGCTGTAAATTTTAAACTACCTATGTTTTTACGTCTTTCTCATCGCTTGTGTTTATTTGTGTTCGTGTTAATTTTCTAATGACTGATTACCAGCTTAATAATTTGCTATTATTTTCATTCAAAACTCAATTTTTTATCGATTTTACTTTTAAAAACCATCCCTTGCTTGCTGATTGACAAATTGCACCATAATTGAACAAAAATTTGCTAGTACCGAAATTCCCATCAGTTCTGAAAAACAACTCCGGTTCCGAAAACTAAAACGGATGGGGAGGGAGACTCAAGTATTTTTAAATCACTTCGTTCTATCCATTAGGGGTAGTTACTCTACCTTTTTTTAATACGAACCTTCTTTGTGTGGCATATTGAAATGCTAAATGTCCTCTCTTACAGTCACAAAATATTAAATCGTACCTTCTTTCAAATTTCTTTACATACCGTGTTGTGCGTGTAAATTCTAAAAAGCCCAAATATTATCTCTCCAGATGATTATATGCAAAAGCTGTATTAGAATTTTTTAAAGA